GGGTTTTAACCCCCCCCCCCCCCCCGGGCGTTGCCTGAGACTGAAATATTATTGAAGTACTATAAAATAAAATCGCAAGGTGGTATGTACAATATTTCACTGTCACATCCTGTCACATCGAGTTACTCGTTTACGTTTATCCGACGATTGCGTAATATTGTCCACCGTGTATATTTTCCTACACAAGATTCAATTCCTCGTCTATAATTACGTTTAGTAGGGACATTCTTGCCGTATATTCACGCACGAGCATATACGTGCACGATGGGTTATTCGTGGAGATGTGTTTACTGGTAAACTCACGTGGCAGTGTACGTTTCTTGGATCTTTCGCGATGCGACTACTGCGGTATGATAAAATCCATATCGCAAGTGCTCGTGTCGGTATCAGGATGCCTGGTCATTGCATCGAGTGTGACGTTCTAAAAGTAACTGAAAATTTATCGTCATAGAAAAACGCTCTGTCAGACGTTCGATCGATATTTAGACTTTGCCTTGCATTCGTACCTACCTTCAGGTCATCTTCGCGTATACCGTGCGTGTAAATTAAAACTACCTTTTTGTCATTTCCTCTTCTCCCACTGCAGTCGTTCAGGCAATAAGGGGCTGCTGCCTAAGGGTATATCTTGCAACGGTAAACACAAGCACGGTAAAGTTACGTGACTCGAAGAATTTTCTCTGAACAAGTGAATCATATTGTTGTTTGTGGAAACACATTTTTTTGTTCGACTACCATAGTGCTTTCGCTTCTTACAATCACGTTTTGGATCTGATCCAAGAACGTTTCGCCGACTTCCCGAGATGTGTATTCCGGACGTAGCAAAATCCAAGTATTAGTCTAATGTCTTTCCGCTCGTTCCCAGAATCCCGCGCGAGCATCACTCGGAGCGTCGATCGTGGCCAACTTCACGGGGCTGAGTAGAAGCTGACGAGAGGCGGGGAAGTTGCGATTGCATAAAGTGACGTATCACAACAGTGCATTAACTCGTGAAGGATAATGAGTTATCCGAGAATGGCCGTAGCCATATTGCGTAAATCACCTTCGGCATACGAGCGTACGTGTACTGCGTTCCGTTTCGCATCTAAATAATTCGCTATTATCTAATCGATTACGAGAGATCGACCAATGCCAACGCACAATACATGGCAATGCCTCTTTATTCTATGTACAATTTATTGAAATGAAAAATGATATGCATAGTTATACAAGGCTGAGGATAAACAGTGGAACTTTTGGACAATCGGTCGCGTCATTGTTTATACGTTACTATACAGTCTTACATGAAAAATACAGAAATACTGATTCTCTCCGGTATTCGTCCGGGTCGTATAGAGACGTCACGTAGATCGACGTAACGGGCTAATATCCTGCTATCCCAGTAGACTGTTTGCGTAAAATCACAGATGACTTTTTTTTTCCTTCGGGGCCATCCTCTGTGTACTTAAGTCGACGGGGACACGCGTCGTACGTATTAGCACTATTTTCACGACTATTAGATCACTGGTGTGACTTTCTTCTTTGTGAATTTGAATGTAACATTAGACACGTGTACGTAAGTATGGTGGGGTAGATAACCAGCGGATGAATTAGTGGGCTATTTGGACTTTATTGAAACAAAAAGCAACCACTAAGGAGTATCCAACCGAAGACGTCATAAATAAGTCCAAGGGGAACGTATCGAGCCTACTATCTGCTGTCTTCGATCCGAACGAGGTCTTTGAACTTAAAAAATTACTTTCTAACAGAAATTCGTGGATGAATCTGAAATTGAAGCATTAAACGGCTTATAATGAGTTCGTGCAATTGGCAGAAAATAACAAGACCCTCTTACTAATTTACTTATTTTCGTCTCCGTAGTCCACGCGCATGACGATTAACGCATACCTTATTTTTTGAAAGCATAAAACTCTGTTTTAAAATTTTCGGAAAAATATGGGAACTTACTCATAAACGTACACGAGCGATCGACAATCGATTAATACTTTGTCGCTCGCGACAGGTCAGTGAGAACTCGATTGCAGTTTCATAGGAAATCTTTCTACCGTGAAATTCGTAAAAAATCCTCGTTTTAATGAATAATACCGTTGCTCTGTTTACTTAAAAATTTATAATTACACGATTACCATCTTCGACACGTTATCGTAGTTGCGTAACTTAACGACAAATATTATCATACGTATTTATATGAAAATTGCCTTTTGGCACTCGGAAGTCCATATCAACACTTTGTTTACGGTACTTGCAGTCATGGCTGATGCGCATTAAAACAATGAGCTGTCAGCAGGCGCGATAATCGAATGCACACGCCGATCGTCATATCGGTTCTAGAGGCCTCACGTTACGTTCGATTAACGTTATAGTAAGTATCGTCAATAATCTTTTTGCGTCCTAACGCTCAACATTGATTTGCAATTTGAGGCGATTTTATCCGTACATGAGGAATTCATTGTCCTTACTTGTTTCCACACATGCAGTCCTTCCACAATTATTGTGCAACGATATGCCGAATAGGTGACAGTGGGGAAAATCCCTATGGCTTGGCGATACGAGATAAGCGAGCGATCGGAGGGGAAGCGACCACTTACCGAGCACGCACATAACGGGAGTCTAGTTTGAAAATTCAAGATTTTTCGTAATTCTCCTATATCCCACTACGACTGCACATACGTCACGATGACGTATACATATTGCAGAATAATGTAACGTGCTCCAGTTACCACGATCGATGCGAGCCCCGAGCGTCGAAATATCACGTGGTCTCGGCCACTGATGTTTTTCCCTCCTGTTTTCCTCGACTTTTCAAAACGACGCAGCCTTTCTTCGTGACACGCGTCCCCGCATTGCTGCCCGTAGCTTTTTTCCCTAAGACCAAGTTCCGCTATGCCGGCAGAATCGAACTAGCCGACTGGCGTGAATTAATTAAAGATTAATTATATACAGAGAAGATTAATCAAATGCAGGATCCGTCTGCTATGTGACTGGTTAATACTAGTCTGAGCTATGGAATTATTAATCCCGAGCATCATAACAATGGTAATGAGACAAATATGAAAATCTGTCAAGAAAACCGTTTCCGGGACGTACTTACGTAATATTATTATTATTACCTGCGATACGCATATCTGTGAAATACTCGTTCGAATTTTAATAGCTGATTGCCAGCTGTCAGTATATACCTTGTCCACGGTAGAAACGTTTACCTCGCGACTATCCCTTTTGCAAGCAATCGTGATCGAAGACGAATTCCATAGCGGTACGCGAAGGCTACGGGGCGTGGGATTTGCCAAGTTTTTGTTTTCATCGTTAACGAGCTGCGCCGCGACTTATTTCGCTCAGCGAGACTATTTGACATTCCGCAAGTCGGGGGAGCAGCGCGTCGTAAAATTCGCGTAGATCCTCCGTGACTCGTGCGATATTCCGTGTACCAAGACGTTTCCGGATACGTTGAATTAATTCGTAAGCTTCGTGTGCTCCTCTGTTGCTAAAATTTTATTTCAGAACTCCCCTAACTCCCTGTCTTCCGTCCTGACTACGTGCTCGCTTTTCGCGATGTAACTGTAGCACGTTTTAAAGGCCACCCGTTACGTAACGGCTTCCGAGAGATTCCGAGATTCGGCAAATAGAAGATAAATATTTCAACCTCCGGCATTCACGTAGCGGATATGGGTTTTTCGTTTGAACCGAAACACTCTTCTGCTTACGTTTCTTTTGTACGGAGTAATCTTTGTTACAGGTACGCGAAGTTCGTTCAGTGTCTCGGAATATGCATGTGTATAGACCTGTGTATATCTTTATTGGACGTAACCACGTAACCTACAAAAACAGGTGGTTTACCGATTTCACCTTATATGGTGTTTACATACCGGTGATACGTAACCTACAATTTCCACGTAGCTTAGCTGCTAAGTGAAATGGATGCTTTGAATTTTTTTTCTTTTTTTTTTTTTCTCTCTAATTTATACGGAAATATACGATTTTCGTATCCCTGCCGCAAACATTTGATCCGCTTAACGAATTCCATTCACAGCGAAGCGAGGAGAACCAATCTAAATTCCTATACTGTTTATCCTTCGACATCCCGGCATGCACCTCGGCATTTCGAAAGACGCGCTCTCGCAAACGGAAACGAAGTGCATGGCTGATGGGTAATGTACGCGAAAGAATAGCACGTGTGCTTACGCACGCTGCTTGCAATGCTCAAGGTTTAATTCGCAGATTATTTTGAAGTAGCGCCACCGAGTGGTTTGCTCTTAAATAAGCAGATTCAATGCGCCCGTCGAGAGAATTTAATGACTTTGTAACCCAAGGAAATAAAACCTTACCTGGCCTAACCATACCATACCATAATATCTGACCAAAGATAGTAAAAAAATTTGAAAAATATTTGCGAGAACGTCACGTAGATATACAGTTGTTTGGCGATGCGGTAAATATTTTATTTGCATACAGATAGATATCTGGATTTATATATATGTATATCCAGCCACGAGATATGTTAAAATTCTCTAGTGACTCTTCGGAGTCGTTCCTTCGCGGTTGATGAACTAGGCATAAATTTAACATGGACGATGGCATATATTTGACGAAATGATAGACTATCGTGTTCCTACTTTAGTCTCATTTCTATATTTAACATTTGCTATTAGTGAAGTTCGACGAACTCAACTCTTCCTAAAGATGGATGTGCTCTGGTAATGAAATTAATAATGATTTCGAACGTAAATAAACATCATGACGTAAACTTACCGGCACAACGGTTATTACTCTCTGATGCTTTTAAGGTACGTTCACTGCTGGGACAAATGGCTGGAATTACCTTTATGGCTGGTCCATTTGTTATGTTGCTTACATTGCTACTTCCACTACCATGTTAGGTGGATAGGTCAGGTACGTAAGAGAGAGAGAGAGAAAGCATTAAAGGTATACATCCTTAACGAATGATGAACAATCTCTTGCAATTTTTTTAAAATTCAAAATCTTATTACGAATGTAAAAGCCTGCGGTAAGGCGGCTCTCCATTATGAACATTTCTCATGAAAGTATAACTACTTGATAAATAGCATGTGTATTGTTTCTACACTTTCATATCAGTATAGAATCAATTCAAATATTTTACCCTTTTACCATCGTCATATCGATAATTTCGTTATCATTGATTCTAAAACCAATCTGATCAATTTTTAACCGAATCTTTACTGAAGTCAAATTTATGGTAGGATTATAACGTTGGCATTGAATAGTTCGAAATTTATTCGAGAATTCGTAATTAATAGTGATACGTGTACGCGCTGTTGACTCGTCTTAGCGGTGGATTCGATTACGTCACAGTGCGTGTTTGTTTACACTATAACGAATTCCTTTCCTTTCCAATGGCTCTGTAGCAAATTCGATCCTTCGTATTATTTGTGCAGAATTTCTCAATAATCGCGGTCTGAATAGAATAGCATAGCAATATAAACATGTGTACAAGCCTTTAGTCACTTTTGGATCAGTCGGGAAAGAATGTCCACGCGCTGTCTGGCGCACCTGTGCACGTGCTTTATTGTAAAAGACACATCAGTATAATCCACAGGATCTCCGCTCGAGGACGAATCAAGAGTATGAGGACTAACGTATCTGGTTACCGAACTGTTAATAAATTTTTTTTTAATTTCCAAAATCCTTTAATACGTTCCTCTCAATATCCCGAACGATTTCTCATCGGTCAATTTTAATGATAAATTTTTTTCTCGTAAGGTATCCGATCGTTCAACTACTAACTGTTCCTATTGTTAACGCTGCGGCAAAACCGTAACGAATTATTTTAAAGCAATTATCTAGAAGAGATACCAGTCACGCTTGTCAGAACGTCGCGCGAGCGACAAAGAGGAACACTCGAGCCAATTTTTTTTTCCAACTAGGTAAACACGTCATTATATTTCCTTGAAGTAAGAAGCGTGTATGTTTCGGCGTCGCGACGCTTCGACTATTATATTCGAGACTCAGTGCTCGTTTTTGGCCTATCATACATTAAAAAATGTCTTTGTACTGTCATCTAACAATTTGCCGAACTCTCGGCTGATGTAACTGATACATAAATAGCAATGCAAGTATACGAATCGGAATCTTCGGTGACTGGTTAGGCAAACGAGTCGGATTCTTCCACCCACGTGCATTGTGTATCTTTTAAAACGGATCCATATAAGGTCGGCTCTAATTAGTTCTTACATCTCCCGATGAACTTGCGAATATTCGTAATCATATTAGCAAAGCGAAATCCGTATAATCATAACCTGGTATATTCTTGGAGATAATAAAGTACAGATACGAAAATGGCATCCAGCTGTGAGAATTATACGAGACCGTCGCTGCATCAATTAATAATCCCTCGGAATTCTTAATTATAATAATTAACGTGTACCAAGATAAACAAATTTATTACCCTCGAGACAGGATTCACTCGACATTCGCAAAACGTCCTTATACCATCGTCAATTGCGATATCTTCGAAATTCACGATGGTTAGCATTTAATTTTTCGCGAATACAAAATATAATATATTTGATTGCAAAATTTGGCTCGAAGCTAAATTCGCGTATTTTCGTATGATTAATATTCGCCGAGAAGGCAGCGGGGAGGATTTCGCGGAATACGATTACGTAATATATAGTCTATGGCTATACACGTACGTATATCATCGCGACGGGTAGTAATCGTATACAAATTATGAAAGATTAGGGTTAACGGTTATTGCAAATTATATATTATTTACTCGGCACGAAACTCATTCATTCGCATCGCTCGAAGATTCTTTTGAGAAAATTGTCGAAAGTTGCTCAATCTCACTTGACATTGAGTCTAACGATATCAGGCGGTGTCCTTGCGATATCTTTTCGCTGATTGTACATAATAAATAATAATACCAATTTGCAAAGCATATGTCAGCTTTTCGAACATCTGCAGCTTATTAGCTAACGCATCAGTACCTACGTGCCAATCCGCCTATTAATTATCAGTGGTTAACCAGTTGCGAGTCATTCGTTCATATCCGTTGATTGTGTATAATATTTAATTCATGTAAAATATATTAAATAAACATTGGCGGATACATTGATACTGACTGCCGTCAATGCTTAGGCTGGTAAGTTCGAACAAATAGAAGTATCAATTGAATGCTCATAAAAGACACTTACGTTGACTAGGACGGTACGTCGTTTGAATCACTTAAAAGATTTTTATGAAAGGATCACGTCTAGCCAATCATCGATTCACGTGCATCGTACGTGCTTAATTCTTTCATGTAAATTTGAAAACCATCGCGACACAATAACCATACATTTTTGTGATGTTCCGGGTTTCTTATTTTTTTTTTTCAAAAATGTGTCAATAACAACTCTGCTTAGCTTTTTAACCTACTTGATCAATGTTGTATAGCACTGAGTCTGGTATTTCGTTGAAAATTTTATTACTAAAAAAATTTGTTCTTTGTTTTACCAAGCGTCTGGCCACTTACGCCGATGTGATTTAGTCGTACGTGCATTTGACTGCAATATAAATCATGGTTCGTTTGGAGCAAAGCATATTTAGTGCGAAATTCCTTTTTTTTTACAAGCTGGTTTTTGGTCAATTTTGGACAGATCAGGCATAGTGATCTCAGGTATGCACTTGATACATGGTAACTGTATGTTTTATTGAATTGTTTCGTAAGTAGGTTCATGCGGGGCAATTCTTTTGTTGGTGATAATTTTTATGAGTCATTTGTGTATGGTAAGGACGAGGAATGCACTTATGGCGAGCCCACATATATGCCATGGTGCAACAGCAATTATGCCAGGTTGCCTAACATTGAGATACTGTTAGGTTTTTTTACTTGGGAAAATGCAAATTGCATTTTGTGATAGACCAGTAAAAATTTCATTATGATAATCGAGGCTTTGTGGAGATCCTAGTTGGACTTGGTAGTAGCGCTGTTGGGAAAGTGAAACAGACCCTGGAGTTACCAAAGAAAATTTTCACTTCGCACAACATCTGATTCCTGTTTAAAATCTACTCTTGACAATGGGGAGAACGAACTCCGAGTAATGCATATTCTGAAAATTGAGTTACCCCAAGATACAGAAATAGCATTTTAAGTCACTCGAACTAGCATTCAGACAAGTTGATATTTCGCGAAAAGCACAGTCAGTGTATACCGGAGAACTTAAGTCAGTGGACTTTCCATGCTCTTGAAAAAGAATAATAGCTACTTCCGGGCTAGCTGGTACATGAACGTAAATATAATTTATCTTACCGAAACAAGAAACTTTTTTAGGCATACGTTATGTGCAAATATTTCTTGAATACGTTCGAGCTCAGCGAAAAGTAAAAATTATGAAAATAAAAACATCAAAGGAATATTACCTAAGCAAAACAAATTTTTCAAATCTTAAGAAAATTGATGCAGCTCAAAAAAAAATCTCGTGAGATCTAGATACTTTTTTTTTTTCATCCAGACAACAATGAGGCGAATCAGTCCTCTGAGAATTTGTCGTCCATTATCTCACAGGGTGAATATAAAACAGATCTTTCGTCTGAAAATGAAAAGATATATTGCGAACTCCTAATGTTTCCCTTCTCGTTAACGCTGTCCTCTTCCCCCACTTTTGAGTCTTATGCTCGGTCACACCTATACATGGGAGACTAGTATGTGCGGCCAGATATAAGCTGAGCGCCGGATGCCAACCGGCAGACCACGTTGAGCAGTCGAACGAGAAACAACCTTGTTACGAGGCGAAGGTGAAAAGTGAATACACGAGTATCGAGAATAAAATTCGTAAATCATCTTCGCTCCACGTTAATCAATTTTCATAAAGAGAATAAGTAAAGCGTGATTTGCTAGGTTTGTCACGAGACAAAACATAAACATTACGCAAAGGATTGGACGGTATTGCTACGATTTATATTCGAGCGATTCAAACGTGCTAAGACCAGTAACCGACCGTTATACGCGTACCATATTATACGTTGGAACGGTGAGACAAATAAGTGCAAACTATTTATTTCTTAAACATCGTAAACCTCAAACCCGGTGAACATACAGTTGAACTTGTGCCTAGTGATTTCCTACGGTGATATTGTGCTACTAAGAACAATTGTTTCAATACCTTGTCAATCTTAACAAGGAGTAAAATGGTCCGTCAAGCCAACAGAGAGGTTGAAACTGGGAATATGGAGGAATCTACGAAATACCTTAATTACTTGAGGACTCTTGCCGATCTTACGGCTATGGCAAGCATCATGGCTGTTCAGGTATAATTATTAATTAATGATTCAAACATTTTTATGACTATTACCATGACCGGTGGAAGTGGAAGAGACAGTTAGATCTTTGTAATAAGACTTTTGATGATTAAAAATATCTTAATTTTTTTTTCTTTGCATAATATTGCGTAACGGTCGGTCCGATATTTCACAAATACACTTATCCCGTGATAACAATTTGACATATCTGGGTATTTTGAATGACTCGTAGCTATTATCAGATAACGGAGTGGCACGTTTTATCGATTAGAATCATTTCCAAAATGTATATTACCTGCTATAAAGAAACATTCGTTTCTCCCAGATTCACGTATCACATACTCGTCGCTCGATATCATGTAAACATTGGAAGAATTCAGTGACGAACTCAGTAAGTGCTTGTAAAAAATTGCATTATAAAAAAGATATCGTAAATTTGATACATTTTTTAATGAAGTTAATAGTAACTCAAAGTTCACTTGATAATTCGATTATTGAGGCGCGTTCGGTCCTTGTACGTAAAATTTACGATAACTCACACTAATAATCATATTACGTTACACTCGCTGATATCAGATACATATATACCCATTCGTAAATTATGTGTGAGCTTCGGTATACATATATATATTTTTTCTTCAAACGTAAGCAACTTCATAATTAAAGCAAAACTGTTAAGTAACCAGCCTCTCTCTCCACTTCAATGACCCTCTTGCTTTAATCAAGACACACCGCGGTCGAGCATAATAATTACGTTACTTTTTATTAATTTCTCCCACTCTCTCTTTCCCGCCTCAAAGATATTCTCAAGTACGTATACTACGCAAGTGGAGTCTTTCGAATTACGGGAAATCGTTTGAGAATATTATCAATGACGTGTTAATGATCCATTGATCATAAGGCTGTTGGCAGATATCAGGATGTTAACCTTGATCAGGACTTCCTGTTGACTTTTCTTGTTTAAACATAAGCGAGATGAAGTACAGTCTCGAAAGAAATTCTCAATCGATATATCGTATAGCAGACTGATAGATAATCCTAACGATAAAAATTCATCGTCATCATCTGCCGATAAGAAATTGAATCCTCACGTAACGCGCAGTCTTCCGAAAGTTCGTCAGTCGACAAAAGGTCAATAGCCGGAGAAAAAGTAAATACATATGTACATAATATATATATAGTATATATACACATCCGATAACCTAGTACTATCAATGCGCAATACACGGATGTAACGTTAAGAATAATTTATAAATTAATCAACAATCTGATTAGATATAACACAAGTACCTGAGCTACATTTACCTTATCAGCAGTCACACGTGTCTCTACGTCACCGGCTTTGACTATTGCAGGCTTACGTAAACCTCGGAAACAATTTTCAAGAATCGTACTGTATTGGCCAGATAAAAGGCATAATTAAGAATCTTTGTTTCAACAGTTTGTTGTATGCACTGCTATGCAAATTTAAGGTGTATTATAAAAGTGCATATAAAGATTCTAGTTTGTTCTTTAGAGAAATACGATAGCGTTACTTGTTATTCACAATACGTAACGTATACGATACACGTGTACACGTAGGTATATCAAAAATCGCAACTACCCACGATGCCACCTCTTTGTTTTTCCCTAATGACTTTTGGTATAAAAGGCGCTATATATTCTAGCCGAAACAAAGACGCAACAAAGAGGTGTCGCTAGTGTCGCGTTTTTCAAGTAGCGATAACGGGTTTAACGTACGAAAGAATTTCTTGGCTATTTGTGAAAATCGTACGCCGCGTCTAATGTCGTTCGCAAACACCGTAAAAGCGCAAAAGATAAGAAACGACAATCTGTCCCAAGTCCGCCTGGATCTAAAATACGAGTCATTCATTAGCCGTGCGTCAATTATTTGTATAAAAGGTAAAGAAGCTGTGGTGCGATCACGGCTTAATGCATTTTAGCGAATCGCGTTTAACATCCAACGTATAACGTTGAACTCGTCAGCTGCTTTCCCATTTCCTGTATCCTGTGGATGCTTAACGACGCGGTTAACAAATGGAAACTCACTTGGTATTATTCCAAGTGTTAAATGATCGCAGTTCTGGAAATTAACTCCTGCCCCCGGGCTAATGTTGTTAAAATTATTTCGAGAAAATCTTCCTTATCCGTCCCCGCTCAAGCCCCGACCCACCCCCCACCGGCCATCACCGACAAAATCACAAATAACAAATATCTATGGAAAAATTATCGTGACCCGTGCTACGTGGACTTCGTCATCGATTATACATTTGCCAAATGGAAGAATTTCCACTGGTAACCCACGTCATTGGGTTTTTAGGGGTCGAGGGGCAGGAAAATTGTCTACGTCAGTGCTGATCGTGGGATAATACGTAATCTATAATATCAATGGGTAATGGTAAGAATGGTAGGCGGTGCCGCTGGGAAATTTGGACTTGTCTCCGTGCCCGATGACTAATTACGGGAGGACTGAACTAGAAAGCCTTTTGTGTGAAATTATAGTGGCTGATATTATTCTTGAGAAATTCTCAAAAAATTCTTTTCAGATGGGTCACGGAACGTTTTTGAAAATTTCATGTACTCAGGTTGGTCGGACTGAATTGTACTTTGGGATTTCCGGCTTGATTGCAACGAATTACTATTTTTTTTGTTTTCCTTGTCCGAGTTTTAATTAAACGCAAAACCTTTGTTTCTTTGATTGCAGTTCAAGAGAATGCTGAACAAGGAACTCTCTCACTTCTCGGAATCCTCGAAGTCTGGGAATCAGATATCCGAATATATCTGCAGTACTTTCCTCGGTAAGATTTTTCATAGTGAATTTTTATCGGCTTTTATTTATTTTCGTTCAATTATTATTTATTTCTGTTACACGTACGACACTTACTGCGCGTATGTTAATCGGATGAAAGTTTGATTTATCGAAATAGTATTTACCTGTTAGGACTGTCAGTTGTGAATTTGTCGTATTGATAATGTAATCAAATAACGTAACGAGACGTTTAGGTCTAATTAAAAACTCGCATACTGATAAGGGTACAAGTTTATTTCTCTTTTCAAGCATTCGTTATACGTGTCTGCTTTGGAATATATAGGATGTATATGAACATTAAATACGCTATTTACTTTCGTGCTTGACAGTTCTTCGAATTATTCGAATTTTTATTAATTCGAATTATTATAGAACGCGTATTCGTACAAATGTCATTTATAAGTCGAATAATATCTGATAATCATTTCTAATCTCAATTCATCGAACGCACGATCCTGGATTATCGAGACGACTTCACGTGTTTACGAAATTTATTTTCAGAGACGATAAAATCTTTAATGATTTCAAATCAGTAGTGCCTTAGGAAAATGGGATGCGTAAAAAAAGTTATTCTATAAAAATAGCGATGAACATAGTCGAGACTTTTAATCTCAAAATGAAATTAATATTAGATATGTTTCACTGGCATTGATCCGTGTTATCCGTGAAATTTATAACTTCACATATGTTTCTTATTTATTACGTTTATCGAAATGATACCGTTGTATAGTTTATACTGCGTTCAATAAAAAAAAAAAAAAAAACGTTATCTCACACGTGCGATTTGCCAACAGTCCAACACACATGCCAAAGGTTGCATGAGTGAGGTTTGTTAAAAAAAAAAAATTCCATTACGCACAACAATCAAGCAAACATAAATACTCGCAAGACGCGTCCTTGATCCTGATTTGTTTAGTAATTTTTTTTTTTCAAACTCAGTTAATACCTGCGCGCAAAAGCTGTGCAAATTATAAATTCCAAAGTTGTAAATTTCTCTGGTTGACAATCTTTTACGCTGACATCGACTCTGCGATATGCCTGGTTGTTTTTTTTTTTTTTGAGGTTAAGTGGAGCACAGATGGTCAGCCCGATAGTATCCATTACACGTCAGACCCGCCGCAATATTTCTCTAGTGACCGTGATGGGGCGATACAAGAAATTAAACAGAGGCTACTTGCTGCTGGGGTGCACGCGAAAAATCTTTACGCTGGGCTTTTAACTGGGCTGAGAAACGCGATCGTGACTTATTTCGGTTCTGTAGATAATATTTTCAAAAAGGAACAATAATAGAAATACACGTGGCAGTTGCTTTGATTTATATGAAAAATTATTTATGAATCTCATACTCGTGCTGTCACGACAAATGCAAATACTGCATCAGTTGACTGTGCCAAGCTGGGCGTCCATTTAGACTGTAGCGAGAGAACGTTCACTTCTGTTTGAACACAGATTAGAGGTAGAATTATTTTGATTATGGTAGTCGTGTGTCCCGTCACGTATGTATATCACGAGAGCAAAAGCCATCTGGCACATGTGAAATTCTCGTAAATCATTTTCGTAATTATCTCGTGTCGACAATTACTATGATAATCGACACCAAGGGAAAGTCATATCAGGTCAACTTATAGTTTTTTTTCTTTCCTCTCTAACTAACAGATAAGCAACAGGAGCTGGACCTGCCATCTTTACGTATCGAGGATGCTGTGGCCGTAGCCGGAAATGTCGATACCAGAGCTGCCAAGAAAAAGGATCGCGTCCAGAGGGGACCCGCTGCCATGTCACACATCAGCGGTGTGAAGAGACCTTTAACTCATACGAATAGCTTTACCGGGGAACGCGTACCACTTTACGGTGTGGAGACACCCCACGAAGAGCAGCTTGGAAAGGTTGGTGTTTTTACAGAATTATTTACACGCACGAGACGTTTGGTAATTTTTAATGAAAAGAGACGGAAATGATAAGGGTGTTTAGAAAATTAAAATTTTTTTTTATAAAAATTTGTCTCTACGAATTCGTCGCGCCTCGATAGTAAATCTTAGTTGTCTTGATCTATCATTCGATCTCGATGCCAATTTACGTTCTTACAATTAATACGACCCACATATTAAACGCGACCTGTAATTTGATATTCTAATAGGACAAACAAACCTATTAACTGTGGCGTCGGATGATGGCTAGTTCTATAAAAATGGCATAGTTACTGTTACCATCGGCGCACGCCCACGTGACGTTTACTGCGCAGGATACGTCAACTGACAAATAAACTAAAAAGGATAAATCGGTAGACGGGATTTCTATGCGTAACGGTCGAGCTGCGAGACGACTGAGCGACTCGCGAATTTACTTTACATGTATCTTATCGTTACACGGATTTGCTCTCCAGTGAACGATAACCCAAATGTAGAGAGGCGGGTTCTTGATAAGAGTATAGAAGAAAAAAAATAGTTTCCATATCTTTCGGTCAAATTGTACAAAACCACGATACCGAGACATGATTATTTCAAATGCAATGTTGACAGGTCTCCTATTTGTGTGGATATTTGTATTTACACGATATATCATTGTCGCCCTCGACAGCCTTAATAAATCATTGAATCAAATCGTGACCGATTACTTGATAATTTACATCGACTCGAGCCGGAGAAAATAAAGTCAATACTCGGTCACAGATGACAGTAGATCGCGACGCAATAATGACAGGCGAGTCAGCCGCGGTATGATTCACGCGAAGCGACAAGAGTGATCGTCGACTTTGACGACGTCGTGAAATAGGTATCGGCCTTTTATGGGACGTTGTGGTAGCCTTTGTAGAATGCCGTTCTTACGCCCACGTGGTGTGATTCGAGTGAACGCTCGTTTAAGAAATGAGACGCGCGCTTTCTGCTCTCTGCACGGCTGAGCAGGCGCCACTTTATTTGGCGAGGGAACAGGCTTTACATCCGATTAGGGTAATGTCTCGATATCCATTGGGAATTATGAAAACTACCTCTAGCACGAATCTTATTGAAATTCCATAACGGCGACAGAACAATCGTTTCGATACCTTTTGCAGTCGCTCGATTCTCGGATAACCAGATACCCGGTTACATATAGTAGGTATGCCCGTTAGTCATGAAATTCCTAGAGGCACGAAATCTCACTCGATTCCTTTCACCGGTCACAGGAAGTTTACTTCGGGCGTCTATACGTTGTCGTCTTGCTGATCGGAAAGTAGATCTTTCACGTAGAAAGTTTAAATAACGTTAGCATAGGAGAATCGTGAAACTCGTGGATTCTAGTCGATTTATTCGCACAAGAAGAAGGTTGACGTACGCGAATGAGTATGCGAATGCATTAGAATACATTGACTTAGTTGAATTCGTTCTGTGCCTGCTTTCCATAATTTTTAACACGTGGGACTGGTATTGCTGGTCTTGCTTGCCGTTGGAATTTCACTTCTCTCGTGCGAAGAACCAGCCAAACGTGTTCCGTGGCGAATGAATAATGCTAATTACGTGACTTTTCATTTGTGTGTTACAGCTGGTCTCAGACATTGACAAGTGGGGAATTGACATCTTCAGGATAGGCGAACTCAGCAATAACCGACCCCTGACTTGCGTCGCTTACACGGCCTTCCAGAGTCGCGATCTGCTCAAATCTCTTGCGATTCCACCAAAGACCTTTGTCACCTTTATGATGACCCTCGAAGATCACTACGTAAAGGACAATCCGTTCCACAACAGTCTGCACGCGGCTGATGTCACACAGTCTACCCATACTCTGCTCAATACACCGGCTCTTGAGGTAGGCGAAGTTTTCTTTGCTCCAATATCCATACGTGTAAATCTGTAAAATAAAAAATTTTTGACTGACTGGTTTGCCTTTTTTATTATTTCAGTCCGTGTTCACACCGTTGGAAATAACGGCTGCGTTATTCGCCGCAACGATACACGACGTTGATCATCCAGGACTCACGAATCAGTTCCTTATTAATTCGAGTGAGTATCATGGATGATAAATTCGTTGGACTATATTATATATATTTTTTAAGCAGGTTGTGTAACTGTGCTTTTACCTTTTTATTCTCAGGTTCGGAACTGGCTTTGATGTACAATGACGAATCCGTGTTAGAGAACCATCATCTGGCCGTGGCGTTTAAGTTGCTGCAGAACGAGGGCTGTGACATCTTTGTAAACATGACGAAAAAGCAGCGTCAGACCTTGAGGAAGATGGTGATCGACATGGTGCTGTCAACGGATATGTCGAAACACATGTCCCTTCTAGCAGACTTGAAGACCATGGTGGAAACGAAGAAGGTCGCCGGTTCCGGAGTTCTCCTTCTAGATAACTACACCGACAGAATTCAAGTCCTGGAGAATCTCGTGCACTGCGCCGATCTGTCCAACCCCACGAAACCACTGCCACTCTATCGCAAATGGGTCAGTCTCCTGATGGAAGAGTTCTTCCTGCAAGGTGATCGTGAACGAGAACAAAATATGGACATTAGTCCAATGTGTGATCGTCACAGTGCCACCATAGAGAAGTCCCAGGTTGGTTTCATCGACTACATCGTACATCCTCTCTGGGAGACCTGGGCGGACCTAGTGCATCCTGACGCTCAAGAAATCCTTGACACCCTAGAGGAAAATCGCGACTGGTACCAGTCGATGATACCCCCATCGCCACCGTCGGACGATCAGCAACCGAACGAGCAACAGCCCGATAGAATACATTTTCAAGTAACCCTGGAGGAGGGCGACGAGAGCGGCGAGGCTGGCGACGGCGGTGGTGAAGGAAATGAAAGTGGCGAGGGTGGTGGTGAGACAGAAGAGACGGCTGGCGAAGCTGGGATGTGACGGAGGCTGGCTGGCATTTGCAAGAAGCTCCACGAGAAGGTGCAACAATCCTGGTGGCGCGTACGTCAGTGACGCTATCCTCTCTACGCTTTCCCCGGATCGCGAGGTCGCCGACGGCAACGGTACACGTCGTTCTCTCTACCCTCGCGACTACGGGGGCATGTACCGTGAACCGTTCGTCGACGCGAAGAAGGTGCTTTTATGGATGCGCCGATTGTCCTCTGACAACTTCTGTCCGGTTACGGTTGTTCGCCGGATATGGAGGGACGCAGAAGAAGGAGGCATGAGAGTAGCTGGAAGAACGAGAAGATAAGAACATGGAAGTCTCCAAACTGGAAAATCGAAGATAGGAACGGAAGATGGTAGACCGATGATGGAGTATTGGAAGAAATACTCGTTGTTGAGAACATCCAGCAGACTCTTTAAGGTCAAACGATTGTTCAGTGTCGAGGAAGAGCCGCGATTCTGCAGTTGGCACGATTCGATTGACTCGAATCGGCCAGTGACGTCGCGACGCTTTCGCGACGTCAGTCGCGACGACTCTCATCGAAGATGAAGATTTAAGGAGGACGAATCTCATGGGGTGGACGAATAGCTTGGAGATACGAAAAGGCAGGATTGTACCAGTCTGATGAGTTCGGATACGAAGTTTGGGAAGCTTCCGAGAAATCGGGGATTAGGTGCTCGATCGTTTTTTTTTTTTGTTTTCTCGAGGGCTACCGGAAGTTCAGAGAAAATCGATGACTGTATCGTGTCCATTAATACATGAGTGGATAAAGAATGCGAGACACAATTTTCAATGGGATTTTCTCTCGAGGACCTACACAACGTTCACGAGGAAGAGGAGCGCGTGAGTTATCGGCAGTTTTGGCAGTTGTCATTGGACGCGGAGAGTCATCACACATTGTTTTTTACCTCTTGTTCATTCGTCGATTCTCACTCGTCAGTCCTTTTCATTTCTCTCTCTTTCTCTCTCCCTGTCTGTCTCTCGTTTCCCGATTCTCCTCTGAATCTCGTTTCGCACGGGATATTCTTCAGAACATATCAAACAGAATGGTACAATTATCGGTATATGTCAGACGGCGTGCGATTCGTAAAACTCGATGAATCAAAGAGCCCTGATATTTCCGAGTGCTTTTCGGATCCTTTCAAACCTTTTTGTATTATAATTATACGCGTTTTTTTCTTACCTCAAGGATATTATTACGATAAGTTGTGGTTTCGGCAACTGTTGAAAAGAAAGTTTCAATAATTACATTGTCCCACGCGTCACGGTATATGCGAATTATGCCACGAGCTTATTAACGGCCGTTACTCTTGAATCTTGCTGTAAGACGCATGAACAATTGTTCCGTTTACGCGCAAATCATTCACGTGACAATCGGTCGTACCTTGAATCCTTTAAGTTTCTCAGTGTCGGAATTGCCCCTAATAAATGGTTAATGCGAGAAATCGTGTAGTCCGCTTTTAATTTTTCATTCGTTGGCCTGTGAATAGAGACTAGGGATTACTCAAATGGACCCGTTAGTGTGTCGCCTGTAGTAAAAAAAAAAAGATTTTAACTCCGCGAGATTGATAAGAACGAATAGCTTGACAACGTACGTTTTCCCAAACGCACACACAAGTACGAAAGAAGAAAAAAACGAGGGAATAAAAAGAAATAAAAAAAAGAATTAATTGAATTTTGGATTTTTGTTTCGATCATTCGATTAAAATACCTAAGCTATACAGGTCGAATACGTATCTTGAACGTAATATTTTGTCTCGATTGCTTGCTAGAACCTAGACTCGTAATTAAACTGATGGCAAAAGGCGACGAATAACAAAAAGGAGGTCAGAGTTAGCAACCAACACATAATTAAATGAAAAAAAAAAAAGTACACTAGTGAATAGAAGGGTATATTCTACCGTTAATGAGAAATAATTAATTTTAATATACAACTATATAAGAGCTGGTCTTTTGGGTTTATATTAAAATTAATTCGTAACCGCGAACGCTTTTTTTTTTCTTGCGAAACACGAAACCTAATTATTAATTGTTTTTAACCAAAGATTAATATTAGTTAATTGTATTACAATCATTGGAGGGTCCCACCAATACGTTTTCGCAATGAATCACTTCTACAGCTTGTAGCGACAGTAGCGAATTTAGAATTTTAGATCTTCTTGTATATTCGATGTGAAACCTATTCGCTTGGATGTCTCTCTGTGAGCCGCTCAATTAATCAATAATTGATCAAAGATATTCGATGATCGTCCGAGCGACACGTGACGTTTATGGCTTTTATGAAATTCAAATGACCGACCAGGCAGGCTATTGGCCCTCTTCAATCGAAATCGAATTGGCAATCTGTTAATGGCGTGCCACGCGATGAAATCTGGAAAACTTTCTCACACGAATGTACGCGTGTCGCTCTGAATAAAATCGCAAAACAGTATCGTATTGGTGGAGCCGACGGGCACGATGGTAGGAAGTGAATTTGTTTTTCTTTTTTCTTTTTTGACAAATCATCAAAAGAAATTGTGAGAACGAAACGTTCAGCCGTGCTCGTATTCGTCCATCGAAACAGAAAAATAAAATGGAATAGTGATACAAGTAATAGACAAATATGATGGACGACGTGAGTGAATGAATAATCGCAAGAATGTGTAGGTATGAAAGTATTTGATGAGAAGACGTGAAAGATGGGGGAAAAAAAGATAAGAAACAAGAGTGCGTTAGTGAATTATAAGGAGTTTTAAGTAACGTACCTAAGTTTAATGTAATCGTACTATGAGAAAAAAAATCTGTATCTGTGTTGTAGACATTGATTCTAGTAAGTGTTTGGTGCTGGTCACCGAATTTAGAATTACCGTTAATATGATTACGAAATACGATTATGATTACGATTAAGATGGATTAACTTAAACGAAGATGATAAGAGGTAGCGCGTAAGTTATGGAGGAATTATATTACTTCGAACAGGACCTGTTCGCTTCAATGACAAAGCGACATCGTTTGTACAAATGAAACAAAATATCAACTGATGTACCTTCGCATTGACTCAGTACGGTGAAAAATAATAATGTTAATAATTAAGATTAATCAGAGAACGAGAGTAAGATATTGTGAGTGCGACCGTGACGAAGTGTGTGAGAGGTCTAGTTGTAAGAGCGAAAGTGTGGGAGTGAAAGTTATTGAGAAAGAGCAAAAATGAATGAATATGAAAAGTGCGAGTGCAGGAGACAATTTCAACAGACAGAGGATGCAAAAACAAAAAAGTAACACGATGAAGAATTGGTTGTTCGTTTCGAAGGATCTCGCGGATGCGCAGGTACCATACGCAAGAGACCCCTCTTCTATTCACAGTTTGTCAATTGTTTGCTAAAGCACTGATTCTGGCATATTAGTTTACGAATTTCTTATGCTTCGAAACTACTCTAACGACGAGAATGTTTTAAAAGTATGACATTTTATGATGATTTAATGAGATGTGTAATGATTAAACAAACAAAAAACAATGTGTTTGATTGCTGGACAGTTAAATGAACATGTATTAATATCGTGTAACCCTCGTATGAGATATATGTGTAATAAAAACATATTTATTGTCGGACAATTTCAGTCTATTTATTACCTACTACTACTATTACTACTACTGCAAATAAAAAATAAATTAGTTGCATCAAGAATTATCTTTCATATTTCATTTGGGCATTATGCACTTAACAAAATTTCTAGGGTAAGGCAAAGAGACAACCTTCATATCCCGATTATGATCAATATGCTGGTTACCTTAACACTGTTTATATTAGGAGCACAAAATCAGGAGGATTACTGTACAATACTGTTTTTAATGTCAATTTTTGAATTTTTTGGCGTATTTCCTTTTCTTTGGAGCTTAGCGCAAAGTTTATCTATTGGTTTGTTCGAACAGAAAATTATTTAATGACCATAAATACAGCTTTGTTTGAGATTACCACCTGCTTAATAAATCTCCCGATGATCTGTTTTACCGACCGCGCAATTTTAAATGATAAAATCTGACCATTTGTTAACATTTAACATAGAAAGATTACTCACTAGTAAACAACAGAGATGAGTAGGGAAATGCACAACGCTACGGTTTTAGGCGATAACAAAAACATGGCGCTGAATCGCAGCGGCAAATCTGGAAGTAGCATTTTGTGATCATTGCCTCCGTGGATAATGCGGACCCCGTCGTAACCAAGCTGACCGCGATCACGAACGTGTAACTTGATGAGCAGAGGCTCCCTGCTACTTACCCCTGGATCACAAAGCAATACTTACAACGAGGCATCTCATCGAATATAACCTAAATATTTTTTCTTTCCTAAGTTCAAGCGTACAGTGTAAGCTCGGTAAGTTTAATATGACAAAAGCCAGCAAGTCATGCCTGCCTGCACTGAAGCCTATGATGATACCATAGATTATAATAGATTAATAGATCTTTTACCGATATTGCGCAACAGAACTATTGTTAAAATCTATCAGGAACTACAGAACTCCTCGAGAACTATTGAAAATGCCTATTTATGAAACATTTTCAAAAAATGGAGATGCTATACGGTTATGAAGTTGGAACCGCAATTGCTTTAATGTGTTTCAACAATAGGCTATTTCAATAGTTCTGGAGGAGTTCTATAGTGTCTGATAAGATTTAACAATAGTTCTATTGCGCAATATCGGTAAAATATCTATTCATTATACTGATGTCATCATACACTTCAGTGCAGGCAGGAATGAGTTGCTGACTTTTGTCATATTAAAACCGAGCTTACACTATACGCTCGAACTTAGGATTGTAAAGGAAATAAGTATTTAGACTATATTTGATGAGCTGCCTCGTTGTAAGTGTTGCTTCGGGAACCAGCGGTAAGTAGCGAAGAGCCTCTGCTCGCCAAGCTACACGTTGGTAATCCGCATTATCGACGAAGGCGATGATCACGAAATCCTACTCCAGGACTCGTCGCTACGATTTAGCGCCATGCATTTGGTATCGCCTAAAACCGGAGCGTTCTACATCTCCCCACTCATCTCTGCCTAAAACCGTAGCGCTGTGCATCTTGCTACTAATCTCTGGTCGACACATCATTTTTTCTCACGACTATGATACTTCCGTACCGACCGAATTTCGCATCTCATTCAGTAAAGTATTAACACAAGTAGACACGAGGTTCGTATTGGCTTGTATAACGGGCAATGGGTTACAAAGAGAAAAATAAGATTTCATTAAAATGGTGAGACGCACGCATCCTAAGTACCTTTAATAATTAAATGTCTAAATTACTGGTAAATAATCGCACGTCCCACAAGCAACATGTAATGTGGGAGCCTTCGAGTGGTTATTTGAGTGACTAGGAAAGTGTCAAAATCAAGATCTATCCGAAAGCCGTTGACAAAGGTAGCGTATCTTAATCGTTGTTTATGGAAGTCAGCTGTATTATCAAAAACATTCGTGTCATGTTCATGTAGCGTTTTTGCGCTTCTATTTTTGACAATTAAAGGTCACATTTGGATATCACTTATTAATGCGTATCACCTAGGGAAGAGCTTTTGCTCAACTCTTGCGACATATATGTGACAAAGAATGCTCTGTTATGAAGGATTGCCTTCTCATTTAAGGGGTGTCCACACATTTATTTTTTCTTGGTCATGGACCTTTTTTAAAATATGTTTTCTAATTTCATTGAGCAGTGAGAGATGAATATTTCGTATTTGTCGATAGTTTAACTGAAGAAGGAATATTTTCAATTAAATTTAGCTGGTATTACGAACCTAGTAAGCGTTTCTTTTGTATTATCTTGTGAAAAGTCGTAATTGTGGTTTTTTTAAAAATAAAAATCATGCCTTCAATGCGTGACAGTGAATAACTTTTTATCATGGATAAAATTAGAATCGTTACAAGATAGATATAAAAGCAAACTTTTCTATATTGCTTTTCTTTTTCTTTTTGGGAAGATTTTTCACTCCCTTGGATTTTTAGAAAAATCAGTGTCGCTTTGTTGTGACATTGTCTAGGTAAAAGAACTGTATTTTAGATGTTCGGAGCACGACTATCGACTGGTAGTTAATTACACTTAATAACATGAAAGAATGAAACGAGACACTGTTATTACCTGCCTGGAGCCAAACCGCAGGGCGCAAACGGTAAGGCTCCATATAACATTTAGACTTCTCTTAATGATCTTGCATGTACTTTCATATCGTATGTTATTTCTTATTCAACATTGTATTTTCATTTGTATCTTAAGATATTAAATATACATTCCACTTACTCAGTATATACAACTAAACATGGTTATTTATTATCTTATTTTACTTATGTTTTATCGCTAAATCCATGAACACTGGAAAAGCTACAAAGGAGATATAGATATCTGTGCATTATTGTCTCACTGTAATTGGTCATTTTTACAATGTAAGTGGAAAATGCAATATAAATTGCAGCAGTATCTGACTCAAGTAAAATAAAAGTAATGACTATCTTTTTCCATGTATTTACCATACTCTTCTATAGTAATCGTAAAACAGTATATCCGTGCGATTGTGCTTGGAGTGGTCTGCATGTGGATAAATTATCACAAGTTATAGTTCTCTTTATAGATTCAGTGTTATTCCTTATTTTTCGACATAATAACATAAGATCTCATTGTACTCAATGAGCGACTATTATATTTCAGATGACGGCTGTACTGGATGGCAATTACCAACAGTTGGAGCACTATTCAGATGGCAATGAAGAAGCTGGTGATGAGGATGGTGAAGAGACACCACAGGAATCTGGTGTGATGATCCATGTGGTCCCAGAAGGTAATAAAGCCAGATGGAATCACATAGAAGATCTGGATTCATTCTTTACGCGAATGTATCACTATCATCAGAAACATGGGTTTGCCTGCATGATGCTCCAGGAAATATTTGAACTTGGGCAGTTCATTTTCGTTGTCACGTTTTCCACATTCCTCTTCCACTGTGTCGACTATTCTGTCTTATTCAGGTGAGCGAATCAAATGGATTAATTTAAAAACAGTAACAATAATTCTTCATGTTGATTTCTGTCGTATATCGATTAATCTTCCAGAGATAAAATAACGAACAGCACGTCGCACAAAATTTCTATCGGAGATGCTATATTACCAGCTGGTAAATGCGCGGAGTCATTGGGTCCGATCACTTGGATATGTATCCTGATAGCAACCATCTTCTGGATTTTACGGGCTGTCAAAGTCTTATACCATCTCACGCAATTTTGGGATATAAAGTTATTCTTTAACATTGCGCTCAAAATCGAAGACTGTGAGTTGGATAATTTGACCTGGCATGAAGTTCAAAAGCGGGTCCGAGAGGTACAAAAGGAACAGGAAATGTGCATCCATAAGAGGGAACTCACAGAACTGGACATATATCATAGGATATTAAGATTTAAAAATTATATGGTAGCTATGATCAACAAATCACTTCTACCAGTGAGACTTAAAATTCCAGTAATCGGTGAAGTGATATTCATGACGCGTGGATTGAAATACAACATGGAGTTACTCTTGTTTTGTAAGTTTTCAAACTGTCTTAATAACACGGATAACCGTAATCTAACATGATATCTTTATGTACATAGGGGGACCATGGTCGCCATTTGAAAATAACTGGCACCTCAAGGAAGATTACAAGAAATTGAACAAGAGGCAGGAACTTGCGCGATCTCTTTCAAAACACATCCTATGGGTTGGAGTAGCGAATTTTATGCTGTGTCCATTGATTTTGCTATGGCAAATTTTATATTCGTTTTTCAATTACGGCGAGGTCAGTATTAATTGATTCCAGATAAACTAGTATCTCTCTCTTTCTACTCTAACAAAAAAATTCTTCTTCCGTAACAGATAATCAAAAGAGAACCTGGCACTCTTGGAACACGTATGTGGTCGCTCTATGGCCGATTGTATCTTCGCCATTTCAACGAACTCGATCACGAACTAAATGCACGTCTGAATCGTGCATACCGTCCTGCATCGAAGTACATGAGTATATTCACCTCACCTATAATGACAGTAATAGCAAAGAATGTCGTCTTCGTAGCGGGGAGTATATTAGCTGTTCTGATAATATTAACAGTCTACGACGAAGATGTTTTAACAGTAGAACATGTCCTAACGACTTGTACAGTGTTGGGAGCAATGGTTGCCGCAGCGCGAGCTTTCATACCAGATGAAAACTTAGTATGGTGTCCCGAAACATTGCTTACAGCAGTCCTGGCACATACTCACTACAGACCGGACAGCTGGAGAGGACATGCTCATACTCAGTCGACCAGAGCACAAGTAGCTCAATTGTTTCAATATAGAGCGGTGCATCTTCTTGAAGAATTGATCTCTCCCCTTCTTACGCCATTTATTCTGTGCTTCCACATGAGACAGCGGGCCCTAGATATCGTTGATTTTTATCGAAATTTCACACTAGAGGTCACTGGTGTTGGTGACGTGTGCAGTTTCGCACAAATGGATGTTCGTAAACATGGCAATCCAATGTGGCAGACCATGGCTCAGAGTCCAATTGAAGATCATAGTGCAGGTTTTGATAATAACTATGGTAATGAACCAGAGAAGCTGCACATACCCTTGTCAAATCAGTATACTCAGGCGGAAGATGGTAAAACGGAATTATCCTTGATTCACTTTACTCTAACAAATCCTGAATGGAAACCACCTAGTCACGCCGAGACCTTCGTCACGGCCCTTCGAGAGAGAGCCAAGAAGGAAGTAACCGAAGGTGTTGTAGGGGATATGAATCCTTTGTATGCGAGTTTGAACAGTCTTTCCAGTTTGGGACCCGGGGTGAGTCTATGAGCTACTACAAGATTGGACGTTCTGGCAAACCGACTTATTTATCTTATCTTTTCTTTCAGTATAATGATTTAGTCTCGAGTATTATTCGTAGTACAATGATGCGCGAAACAAGTGTACCCAGTATGAGCAACATGTTCTCCAATCATCCAGGAATGTCAAATACTTCCGCTCCGGAAGATGGAGCCGGTAGCGTTAGATCAGATTTTACGTCTCGGGCTGTGAGACGTGGTTTAAACAAAACTGAAGGTCCTTTACACAACGAGAGAAGTTTATTGTACGGTTTACAACAAGGAATGTCTAACCAGTCCTTGGGTGCTTCGGTATTTGGATCAGGGCACGAATTTTCAAACAATATATCCGTACCGATAGAACTTACTGCTGCCGATATGTCCTTATCTACATTGTACCTGCACGAACTTCATCATAGACAAGTGAGTAGCCATTGTTTGGAGCAAGGTTCGCTCCCTCTTTAATTATTGGAATATAATTGTACATGGGGGCAGTGATTTATAGGGTGTGTGACATTAACAACAATGCTTAAACGTTGAGGTCTAGAAAAATACATGATATTAACTTTCATGTCGGGATTGAGCTTTAATGGCCGTTATGAAAATCCTTGAGTATACTTATCGGATATCTCAGGATCGATACGTGCTGAGTTACAGGTAAGGAGACGAGGTTATCAAGAAATGGCAACTAGAAGCATATGGCAGCGAAGTCCCGTTCAGGAATTGGCTACCTTACCAGAGGTCAGACAAGAAAGGGCACCGTTGCTGCTTCATCAGGATTCATCGATAAGGAATAACAGAGATTCCTAGCAGTACGTTTGAGTCTTTCGTGTTAACTAACGGTTAGTTAATTTTTGCGCAATGATCTTTTCAAACAATAAACTATTTTTATCCATTTTACGAAACGACGACTTTATGATTTATTTTACGTGACTAGGCGAGTTCTTAAGGCTTAAGGAGGCACGTAGATCAATGATAAGTACTTGCGCGAATTAGAGCAAAGATATAATGTGACTTTTTTTTTTTTTTTTTTTTCATTCCTATAGTTTCTCCTTAATTATACTGTAGCTCGTTAATTCTATACAACGGCGCTAGGTCGGTTGATACTTGGCTACATTTTTTAAACATTGAATAATCGACGAACGCCTATTGTATTCAACATCGAGGGCCTATTTACAAGGTTGTATGTTATTTCGTGACGGCAACAAAGAATATGTGAAATATTTGAGGGTGGCATCTCTTTTATGGATACCGTACATTACATCGTTAAAAGTTTAATAAAAAATAACGGTATCCACGATAACGAGCTATCGTGTCAACAAGAGGAATAACGATGGAAAATGGAATCAGTTACGGATTCGCAGGCCTGCGGAGCGGAAAAAACACACCTTGTATTTTCAGGTGCTGTATCATATAATATGAAATCAAATACACGACGTTTTCGCAGATGTTAAATTGCGACAGAAAGGAGGGCGTGCAAATCAATGATATTTGTCATACCGTATTTCTGCGGGATAAACAGGAAATATTGTTATGTTACCATTTCCATCGATGTACTAGAGAGAAAGAAAACGCGAGTCTCAGCGCCGATGATCATGTTAGTTAGTTTTCAATGCCACAATTCTCTAGTCATAGGAAATTAACGTTACGCTATTAGAATTAATAATGAATTCTTTGCAATATTAGCGAAATTACGTAATAACGATACCATTTATTTATTTTATCCTATATTCCTTTCTTTTCATACCACTTAAACGTGAATGTCTGGTACAGACGACGCGTGACAAAAGTAACGGTTAACCTGGAAAATCGTGTGCCTGTAGAATTACTCCTTAGCTGTAGGTTCCTTGAACTTGTACTTGGGAAATGGCACGCAATATTTTGTGAAAATGTCTTTGGAAGAATTTTTCAAGGAGGTACGAATCGTTTCTTTGCCTAAGAAGGTTTAATGTAATTTTTCTTTTATATTCTTAATCGCGTGCAATGTTTGAAATTCTAAATCGTTAACAAGAAGTGATTACTCAAATGCAAACTCTTTAATTAACAATCTTTTCCGATTAACCCATAGCGATTACTTATTACAATTACGAAGCTTTTTGCTAGACAAATCTTGTATCAATGTGATTCTCAAAGAAGAAAACAAAAACTGTTAACTATAAGGGTTGCGTGTAATTTAAGATTATATTATGAATAAATACGTTTCGTAATAATCCAAGGATTATTTTTTGAAAGAAAAAAAAAACCGTTAATCATTCCTTGCCATTGAGAAAATGTAATTTCATGAGTTCCCAGCGCCGCACTCGTTCCCATAGAAAAGTCACGATTTCATTGGATCACATAAAAACAAATGAGCTTCGTCTATGGAGATGTCCGTCATTAAACTCGCCATCGGCACAATGGACGAAAAATGTGAAATGGCAAATCTACGTGGAATAATAAAAACCAGCGACACTTCGAAATACAATTTACGCTGCAACAGAAACATCAGCGAGAAGATGACTAAGAAGGATTTCATATACGATATTCGAAGACCTATATCTGGAACGAGAAAGGTTCACTATCTCTCTTTTATCTTTACCTTCGTAAACTACGAAATACTTTGTATCTTGTAACGCTTGAGACTAAAATTCGCGAGACAAACTATTGTCATTGTTATCGCACGTTATGCTGATCTCCACACTGGCGATAATGGTCGCCCGAAAGATTCTGAACGTTGAAAATGATTATCGGTACGGAATCGTGATAAAATATCAGTTGCCAGGATATTGTGCGGTTTCCGATTGCGCATATATATTTTAACAAGTACAAGGTTCAGTATGATTATCAGTGACTTTGGTGCCATTTAACGGGAAAAGCACGATATTACAGTGAATCTTTAAATCGTTTAAAAACTTGAAAATATATACTCGACAAATTTATAACAACCCATCCTAAGCGAGATAACACCACTTGAAACTTGATATCCGCAGCTCGTCGAGGGTCAAAAGCGACAGATAGTTCTCCCTATACAACTTCGTAGAAAAACCGTACCAGATTCCAAGATGCCTCAATATACAGTGATAACTACAAAGAACGATAACGGCGGAGGAGGGGACGCGGGAATGGTAATTATCCAGTGAAAATGGTAAAAAATTAGACCTTTCGCGACAGACAGGAATTATGGGAAAGAATTTGAGTCTCGAGGAAAGATATATAATAAATCAAAATATCGATTGTTGGCCGCAATAAACACGGTTATCGTTAAATCAGTCTTATCGCGTACGATAATAGATGGAGTTACGTACCACTTGGGGCTCAATAATTGTACCTGAAATTTCAAAAAATTCGCCATAAGTTTGAACCGGACTAGTTAATCCATAAGAATATCTTATTGCGTATCACTTGTTTTTTTTTTTTAAGACTAAAAATGCTATCAGCCATTAATAACGTTTTGATATAACAGAAAATTATTTAAGTGAGCGACGAAAAAAAATTTTTTTTAATTTTTTATAGATGCCAGAAAGGAGGGATCTTGGATTTGAATGTAATTTCTGCCATGAGCCCATTGCTACCCTGTTGTCACTGTCGACTCATGTCAAGTTTCACTGTCAAAGGTATTGCAAGATGTGTTACTGGATTCTGCGAGAAGATGAGACAATGGACCAGCACATTGAGCATTCGCATCGAATTAGGCCAGGAATTACAGTCAATCTGTGAGATATTGAAAATTAATTATTTTTCTTTGTTCTTGTCGTAAATACAATTTCGTTGTTTCCTTTGCACTGTCCAAAGAATATAGCCTCAGCAAATATGACTATAGAGTGCTAACGAGTATACATATAATAGATACGTTATGAGTGATCGAATGAGAAAAGAGAGAATTATATAAATAATAGAAAAGGGGGGGGGGGTAATGAGCAAAACAAAAATTTTCCAACACTCATCAACAAGTACTCGTAGTAATATTTGTCGAGCAACTATTGTTATCCCTGAAAGGCAACATTGTTACGTAACAATATAATCTTGTACATATACTTCCACTGTTTTATTGAGACAATAAATTAATATCGGTAAGTGGACGAGGCGTTGCATTTTATAAAATCGCCTTATCTCTTCGGCGTGATAATAAATACGATCGTCACTACTTTTTAAAGAAAATCTATCGACTCAGCACAGGTCGTCACTCTTTTTAAATTTATCGGCTAATTCGGGAGCCACTGTTTTCAATATGGCCGTAACCTCTTCGTTACAATTGATAAATTCAATTTGCTGATTGGCCAGCGAGAGATCCTTGGCCAATAATTTAAGATTCTGAAACAGAAACGTATCGCAGCCATTATTCAAGACCGATATCAAGACACGGTCAGTTGGAAAATTTAGTGGCACTCAATAGTCTCCTGAATCGTGAAGCTTGAAATCGATTGCGCCCAATAGATTTATAAAGTGGGATTTTCGATAATACATTCTCGTGATGGCGAACTGAGAGAAATTCTGAGCCAATTAATACCTCGCTTACCTTGGCAACAGTTGCGTCTATCCTGTTGAGACTTCGTCCGTCGACAAGAAGAGAACATTGATGAAACTCTACGAGCTGCATGACGTTAGAACGAAGATTTTCAGCAGCTGGAAAGGCAACGGCTTCCTTGGGTATTACATGAATAATCTTGTGACCTTCGATCTGAAAGAAGTACTCCATTACGACGAATTTGATAATAAAATGCTAAAGCGAACGGTCCTTTATAATGCACTGCTTGAAAACGTAATACTAAGAGAGTACTCGAGTACCACAATGAATATGAACTTTGGAGTATTAAATCAAGTATGAGAAGGTGAATGAGTAGCTACGAGATACAAGGGTAACTTCTCAAGGGGATATATAACTGCGGTGTATTTTCCGATATTAAGGTTTTCCAAAATGGTATTTTAGGAAAGGATATGATACAATGAAAATATGGGGAACAAGAAAATATTTTAGAACGTTATGGTAATTAACATTTACCCGAGATCTTGGACCTATTAAATATGGGAATAAGATTGCGGTTATAGGATAAAAAGGGAAAAGGTGATATTTTGTTCGCTTACCTGTTCTACGCGAATTTCAATGGAGGGTCTGGCGGAGAAGAATAGCAGGAAAATAATGCTTAATAGAATTCCTATAACAATGCCAAATTCCAAGCCGAGGAATACACAGGCGAGCAACGTCAACGACATTATCATGAAGTCGCTTTCTAAAATACAAATAAGGAAACTTTTGAATAAATAAACGGGAGGAAGCTTGCGTCGCCTCTCTACAACGTTTTATGAAAATTTTCTTGGTTACTGAATATCTCATGATTTCACGAACCGTCACCCCGCGTTACTTGATGGGATACAAATTCAGTATAGACAAAAAAAAGGTATGATTATATTATATGATATAAAATGTGTACGACAGAAAAGCACAAGATTCTCGTTTACTTTTTGCTCGCCAGAGAAGCTTATAGGTGTCGAAATCGAGCATGTAATACATGGCGCATATTATAACACCGGCCAGTGTGGCTCTTGGTATAAAATGGAAGGTCGAGGTAAGAAACCCCAAAGCCAATAAAATCAGACCACCTGAAAATGTATAATTTGATAAGAGAGATAGCCCAGGACTGTGTAGAGGGAAAAAAAATTTATAAAAAAAAAACTAAAAAATCCGAATTTTTAAAAAGCGATAGGAACGGCTAATATTGATGGTTTATTCAAAAATAAGGATGAGTACAGGGATTTTCAGAAATTTCAAAAACAACGTGATAACCATAAAAGTGCTCACCCGTGAAGAAGCCGCCTAAAGGCGTCTGGACGCCTGAAGCGTAATTAACTGCAGTTCTTGTAAAAGATCCTGTGACCGGCATGGATCTTACAAATGAACCAAATATGTTGCACAGACCGAGCGCCAGCATTTCCTGTGTCGCGTCTAACGATTTTCCCATTGCTGAAAATACGTAGGACATAATATTGTGTACAATGGTTTGATAAGCGAGCGATTCTCCAAGGTAAGATGCAGCTTGTTAAATTAATTAAGTTTGATAATTAACCCGTCAGCAGGCGCGTTATTTCTAGCGTTTCACTCTCACTCTTCGCTCATTCTATTATAGGTTGAGTCGTATCGCATGAGAAAAATGCTCATAGCGCGCCTTCTTGCGAGTTAATGATTGCTATACCAAAGGCTTTTGAGATGGCGATATGTTCAATCGTCGAAATAATTGGCATCGTGAATAAAGTAATCCCCATTCCTGATATCAAATGGTGGAAGCTGTAATAATTATCGTGAAAGACTGTGAAAAACGGCGGCAGGGAAAACGGCGGTAACCCTTGACCCATGGAACCTAGAAAGAAAGAATTTAATTTAATTACATCTAGGATCATTAGCATGTACGTCCTTTAGATTAGAAGGGAAGTGAACGCACAATATTTCACATCCAATAATGAAATTTTTCTTGCTAAAGGGCATTCTTTTGATTATAACGCAATCTTATAGCTTCCATGACAGATATAAATGCTTTCGTAAAAATAGGTTGGGTTTCTGTTATTAAATTTTCAATGGAAACAGTGAATAATCGTTTGGAAATTTTCGCAGGGCGTACTCACCGGTTAATATAAGTGGTTCCATGTCATTCAGGTAAAAAACGTAAGCTAATACAGTGCCAAATACAACGACCAAGGCATTCCTTGCCAGAGTTACCATCCACAGTACATTCAGTGGAAATTTTCCATTCCGATTACCCGGTAGATTCTGTTCCATGAAAAATTCAAACGTCGTTCAATTTCATTGACTGAATTAAAAAAGCAAAAAGAGTCGAATAGTGATAGAGTTATTGTCTTCGACAAAAAAAAAAGAAGCAGTGACTGAGGGCGTGCCAATAAAACTCGAAGTGGCTGACTAAGAGAAATGTATGCATACATCAATATTTTATTCTGTATATCGATAGGAAAGACGCTTACGTGGAATGCCTGATAAATAAAGCTAAAATATTGCACGCTTGTAAAGAAAAAAGATATCTAATAATTTATGCGATTAACGTCTAATTTGATTGGACAAGACTTGCAAAAAATTAATTATAAGATCTGAAGATATCAATTTAACATTATATACACATATAACAGATAATGATTATCAAATAATTTTGGTTAGAATATTTGAATAAGATATCCGAAACATAATATAATATTAGAGTATTATACCTTGAGCAATACGAGAGCAGCAACAGTTCCTAATCCGAGTAAAGTATCAAAAATTCCAATGTCTCCGATATTAACAAATACAGAAACAATAGAATCCAAGAAGGAAGAGCTGGATCCTCGTATGCCAAGAATCGGTTTAAATTGTGCGGAAGCGATGGTTATGGCGGCGCCAGAAGTGAAACCGGTAATAACCGGAAGTGATATAAAATCAAGGAGGAAACCTAGATTGACAAACAAGACGAAAATCAACAAAATTTCTTTTTATTATTACCCACGCATAAAGCATATAGTTGTCAAAACATCCCATGACGTATTCACCTGCCCATTGTTCAAAAATCCATGAAAATTGAAAAACGATCACAAAAATTATCTATTCGGTAAGCACCACTGGTCAACGCAAAGTAATGGATATTCAGTGAGCCAAATAGGTGCAGTACTTACCCAAATGAAACAAACCAAGAAGAGTAATGATGCAGCCCTTAAGGAAGCAGATAAGAACAGCTATGTCGGGTCCATAGTTGTCAACAAGTGGCCGAACCATAAGTGCCATAATTGCGGTGGGTCCGATTGTAATATTTTTGCAGGAGCCAAATATTATATAGACGAAGGAGCTCACGAACGCAGCATAGAGACCGTACTACGGTTTTCGTACATAACCTAATATTAATTCCTTCGTCTGACAGCGGACCGTTTGTTATCGATATTGGCGACTCACCTCAGGATTTAAGCCAGCTACGATTCCATACGCTATGCCTTGTGGTATTGCGGTGAGTCCCACCGTGATTCCAGCTAACATGTCCTGTAGAATCCATGACTTTTTGTATCCTGGCAACCAGCCCAAAATCGGAAAGCGACGTCTCGTGTACGCCTTGCAGTCTGGCGCTTTACAATGTACTGCAAAGTCCAAATCACATGTTCAGAATAATGGGAGAATTTTTTTGCGATTAGTTTAAAAAGAATAAAAAATTTATACAACTACTCTAACCTTTATTTAGTGAGAGGTTATCCTATAAGAACTTACAGTTTTTTGTATAATCCTTCTTCATGACTATTAATGACAATAATAAAAATTTAATTTATATTTAGTGAAATTAAAGACGAATGATGTTCACTGGTCGATGAGTGTAATATAAGTGGACTTCACGTAACTATGAGTAAATATGTTATCATACCTGTGTCATCGATTATATACATCTTTAAGCTGATTGATGAGAAAAGAAGCGGATGAGCTTAGGGCTTTAAGCTGCTGTCTAAAATTAATTCATTGCCATGGGGGGGTTCCTACATTGAATAAATACTTAACCGAGGCTGCGCACTCGCAGTATTATGTGCTGTAGTTCAAAGCTATGTAGACGCCCGGATCAAGGGCAAAAATTCTTTGAATCGTGATCTATGAGGGAATTAATGATCGGGATGTTTAAATTTCGTATTATAAGTGCTGAGTAAATGTTTAAAGTTGGCTGCTGGGAAAAATGGTGGAAGGAAGGGGTAGTCTGTTGAGTAAACATCGATACTATACATAGATGTAGAGTTATCTCGAATGGACCCTAGTACTTAAAATTCCTGGATTATAATAGTATTGATTCATTTATTTCAATTAGTTTCTTTTTGAAAATCAATATATTCTCCAATTTTACGGATAAAATGGAAATAAATTGACGTTTTGATCGCTAATCGTTGCATTTTAAATTTACATTGAAAACAGACCTGATCCTTTTCTCTAAATCGTTTTATTCATTGAAGATGCATAAGTTTGATAGATACCGTTAATCTGTCTCGTAGTATCATCAATCAAGATTTTCTTCCGAATTATACCTATTTGTGATAAAAAATTATTATCGATATCTCACGGATGAACTTTTTTATAATTATATTTTTTTCGAAAATTAAATTTTCAAACTTTCAACAATTGCCCTTGGTAAAATTTTTTCTTGCGTGATATAATTCTTATCAAATTGTCGGCCAGCATACGTGTTTCACTGGTCAATGATATACTATTGTTCACTGATATAAATTCCATTCGGTTTTTTTTTGTATAAATCCTAAAATCACGACAGCGCTCATTTCCGTTAAAATTTATATTACCGCGAACAGACGCGCCAATTTAAACTTCCTCTTTGGATACCGTAGACTTCCTCCTGTTGAGAAATATTAGAGGAACGGCCGTAGCCTCGTAAATGCCACTGGTGTGGTTAATTTACGAGAAAATTGTAAATACATCGCAAGCTCCAAACATTACTCCTAGATAATCGGTGAGATTCCATGTCGACGACCATAGCCATTTGGATTCTCAGATTTGAAGAGGTTTTCATAACAGTCGTGTTTTTTTCCAAACGTTTTCAAATAGACTTCGGTATTTTCAAAGTTTTACTATACTCGAAAATTTCCTTTGCTGATTTCTCCTCGTCAAGTATACATATAGATGAATCACAAATTTTACTCGATTTCCATTAATTAAACACTCTTACTCTTATCACAGATTGCCAGAAATATATTCAAGCATTAATGCTGGACAAGGTACGAATCTCTACGCATATTAATTATCGCGCTACGAAACGCCTTTCGCATCTAGTGGACGATAATGTTGAAAAAAAATATCACGCATTTTTCAAAATTTACCGACTTTGAGGCTGCCAATTAAAGAATATCACAAGTTTTTTCTCGAGTACTTTAAACAATTTTTTACACATACTTTCGTATAACTAGGACAGCAAGTCATCATATGTAATGTCTATAATGACTTTACAGTAAAGTTTTCACGTGAGCTTAGAAACTTTCCGCTACTATCCTCTCGCGAGGCAATGAAGTTTTGTGGTACCGCAAAGTTTCCAAAATTGAAAGAAATATTTTAGCTTCAACACGTCAGGTACAAACTTACTTGAATCCTTGTCACAATGCTACCCCTTCAGTGAAAGCTCTTATTACGAAGACAGTCAATACTTACGATCGAATCAAGGTCTAGATATTTTTTTTAAAATGTACAATTTCTGTTTATCTAAAATTAAGAAATGAAAAGAAAAGCTTAGGATAAGATAACTAAGATATGAAATACAATAAAGATTTCCATTATCAGTTTTTCTCTCTGACAGCTTCAAAATTTTATCCAGGCATCTCGTAATAAATTTCTAAATAAGAAATCATCCTTTCGAAAAAGTTCTTCCAGGCACGAATAAATATCGAAGAATAAACTAAAGCAAAAGTTCTCGTAGAAAAGTTCTCGTAGAGCAGACTGAATGTGTCTGACATATTGCTCCGTATAGTGAATATTGAAGCGGTCTAGGGTTATTATAATTTTAACTTAGGAAATGTATGGTGGTCTGGAAGGCGAGTGGCGGAAGGTACAGGTGACAGGAGGATATAGTTGTGGTGACAGGAAAGCTTATGTATTATACATATATAAGCAGCGGTAAAAGGGATGAAGTGGCGCGTGCGCGTGATATATCACGGTGTTGGAGTGGAGGTAGATAGCGTGGCAAAAGGAATGAATGAACGAACGAATGGCAGTCCCGTGCGAAACTGCGAACACGACGCGAGGTCGTTCCTGTTAAGAAAGAAATAAACCTAAAGACAATCATTGCTAGATCGGAGGGAGAAGAAAGAATTTAAAGATACAAAGAACCTAATAGCTACTCAAATTGAAAATCATAATGGGAGATCACGATCGATATTAAAACGTAGAATTGCAAGCAACGATTATAAAAATGACGTAAACAATTTCATTTTGCTATTTTTAAATCCGCTAATTTTAGGGAAAAAAATTATTTTTTTTTTTTATATTTTTAAAAAACTTTTGTCGCGAATCTCGCTGTTGCGGCTTATATGAAAATGGGGTAAAATTTTTGAAAAAAATTATGACAGATACTGATCAATGTTTCAATGATCCGTAAATTTATGAGGGATTCGATATTATTTTAGGCAGTGTGAATATGAGAATACGTTGAATTTGATTTTTTACAGGGAATGCAAAAATTTGAGACTCTACTCTATATATCCTAGGGTGGATATATGACTTCGATGGTTTATTGTACATCAATGGGTTAGCTTATAGAGGATTTGATATTTTTCAATCGAGATAATGACACTGATAAACACGTCGTTCGCGTGGAGAATTCTTTTCTCGCTTTACGAAAAGCTATTTACATTGAGGAAGGATATTTGGAAATTAAAAAAAATCGTCAACGACAACAATCACGAACCGTACGAGGCGATGAAAAAAGGAAAATGTACGAGAAGCGGCTTCACCTTCCTCTAACATAAAAAATATAAGAGCAAGAAAGCAACAGAGAAGAAATCTGTTAAATATTTAAGGCAAAGAATTAAAGATGATTATATCACGTAAAAGAACGTGTACAAAACTAAAAAAAAATCCGAATCTCCGTGAAAAGTTGAAATATGAAAAAATATAGGAAATCGCAAAACGATTCGATACAAGGAAGAACCTCGTACAAAAAGCAACAATATATCGCGTAATCAGAAGAAAAAAGCAACGAATTAGTTTCCGATAGATTGAATAAGTGATTCTAGAGTTAAAAAAAGAGGGGTTAATAATAAAAGAGAAATAAAAGTTGACGCTAATAGAAATATTACCGTGAAAGTGGTGACGAAAATTGGATTTGGTCCTTTTAAAGGTTCGAACGCCAGGACATTTTTTTTCATCTCGAAACGACAAAGCGAATTGAAAATGGAAGTGTTAAGAATGCTAAGTGATTTCTAGCGAGTAATCTGTCCCAATTAGAAATCTCGCCCGCAGGCTGGTAGGGAGGACAAAAAAGAGACAACGAGAGAACAATAAATTCCCTTCTTGCTCCGCATTGCGACCCAACGGCATAACGAAGAGACATAGGACTTTCTGGCTGTAAAACACAAGGATCAGTTTGAAGGTAGGAGATAATTATATCTACATTACACCTTGCCCTAAATTAGATTATATTAGACGACTAATGTAAGTTAGCACTGAGTCGATTCATAGCATGTTAGCGCAGCAACATCATTAGTAAGGGATGAAGTGGCGCCAACTTCAATATTTCCATAGCTGACCCAACCTACTGACTATAGCAGAATTTTTTTTTTCTTAGAAAACATCATTCGCGTCAACGATTACGATCGACGTTCATTGCGTTGTTCCAACTCAATTTTACGGATAAAGTACGTCTATCCTACGTTCAATGTAATTCAATTATTGAATCGTGCTCGGCGTACAGAAATCGCACTTCGCTTAATATTCCACGTAAATTTTGTTTGCAACCAAGAGCTCTTCCTATTCCAGTACATATGGTTACAATTTTACTTGTAGATTTTGTTTAACATCGAGATTACCAGAAGCCTCTATAATGGCATTTAATTTAAATTATTAAATGGCGACCTCGGAAATTCCCCAAAAAATCGATATAATAATCGTGGACTGATGTAAGCCTATACATAGGCTCGAGTAGTACTATAATTTCGATCGGTCAAGTTCCTCTGGCATATATTAAATATGTATTCCCAAAAGTGCCTATGCCGTCGGGAAAAGGTGCGGCAGTCTACAGGTGAAATAAAGGACTAATGGGAATTCTTAAGTCTTTTTTTGGAATAGTGAATTTCACTGTTGAACGTTACACTTATGGAACGCCGTAAATTTTCGAGCTTCGTTGTCGCAGGCTGAGGAATCTTAGGAGTACGATACTAATAGCTGGTATAAATTATTGAGGCTAAAAAATATAGTTGACTTGCAGAATTTCATAGATTCGAAGTCGACTACTCGAACTAAATATACACTCGGTTTCTGATAACTTGACAACATGACATGTACAACGTGGAGCAAGGAGGACGGGAGTATAAAGGATACAATAAAAGAACACGAGGAAAGTACAAAGAGATGAGGCTGAGACTGTTACATACAGAGCTATCTGAGAAACAGTAGGATGCTGCCTACTCATTTTTTTCTGTGCATTAAAAGAACAATGGGTTTGAAAAAGAGCGAAGCCACGAATGGTTACGTACCTTGAGCTTCCATATCCTGGCGAAGTCCAGTGAACAGCTTTTCTACTTTCTACTCCTCTTCGAGTTTCTCTTTGAGTGTCTATTTATTATTCTTTGTATATACACTTGTATACTCCGTGTATGTACTCTTCTACTCTTATCGCTTCGACAAATGATTTATTCAGTATTCTCTCTACGGCCATGTTCTCGCTTACACGTTCAGTGAGACACTGGTCGCTGACTTGCTGTCCAAAATTATTATCTAGAAATTCTGATATGACGCGGAATGATCTTTGACATCTTTGCAAGACCTGTTACTACGGGAAGAAAACATAATGAAACTTTGTAACTTTACCGATTTCCAGTGTCTATTGGTGGGTACCCATCTATGCTTTTAGCTATAGCTGTTACAACAGAGTTTTCTTTAATTCGTTTCTTGGTATCAATTGAATTACATCTATAGCAGTCGATTCGTTGAATATGACGTCTGAACTTGTTTGAGATTTCAAAAAAACGATCCTTCCTGTAAATTATACTTTGAATATTTCATTTATTTCTGATTATTTTAAAAATTCTTAACACTTGATTAAACAACAAATTCACGTTTAATGGCGCTTTTATAGTATCCAGTGTATACAAATCGTGTTTACGAAAGATGTTCGGTCAAGGAGGTGTCTGGGACTTTTACTGAAATATTTTAGTTTTCATTGAGTATTTTAAAACTTTTGCCATTAGAATTACTATCTATTCAATGGGAGTATAAAGAATCGTATAACCACGTGGCAGATTTCTGATACAATCTGCAAGTTGTGTACATGCCATTCTTTAACGTACATCAGCGTCGGGTCAAAGTACACCTCAGTTATGGTACTGGGTGAAAAAATAAATTGCAAGGAGTATCTCACCACGAGGATCTATAGTGACTTAAGAAAACAAAAAAGTAAGCTATAGCGACGTGTGAATGAGATAAAAGAAAAATATGAGACACTCTTAGGCTAGAATTTAAGTGATATCACCGGCAACCTATAACACCCCCTCTTTATCACAGCATAGTAACCGGCCCATTATATTATGATTGAATATCTTGAGGAGTGATGTAAAAAAAAAAGTTATATAGGTCGTATACGTGTATCGAATCTTATCTTGACATTTTCCGGGTCCATTTTTATGCGTTACTTATCGGAAGAATAGCTTGCAGAACGTAATTTATACAGATTATGGAAGTTGAACAAAGAATTTTTATTTTTTGTAGAAAACTAATAATCTTTATATCAATGTTTGCATACTTGAATCTCGTTCGTCGGCTTAACTAATCGTTGTTGACGTGACAGAATCTTTTCATTGGAGGTAATCCTTTAAATTGATAATTATAATTCGATATGACGATAAGGCCTCTTAGTATTCTTACTGGTATAAAAAAAGGCTTCTAGAGAATTTAAAACTACGGTTTCGGTCAGACAATTTTTCTCTAATTCTTTTCAATTAAATCCGAATTCCCATTAATCGATCTTTTCCAATAGTGTTCATCACGTACGAGTCAAACGATGTTGCCTTTTTAAAATAGAGTTTTTAAAATATCGTTTTATAGAATTCTTATTAAGTCCTAATAGTCGAATAAGGAAGTTTTATAGTTTTAAAATTATTGGTCAAAACAGAGATAATGGCTGTCCTGAAAGTGACGTTCGCCACTTGCAAGAGGATTCGAACGGCACCGTCGGTATTTGTACGTGACGCGACAAAAGTCGATAGAAAATAAGAATCATCCAGAAACTTTGAAAAACCTTAATTCTACAGACCAGCTCGTGGAGCAGTGTTGTGGTTGAATATTGGAAATATGGCGAAAACTTTATTAAACCACAAACTTGGCCATACACCTTCTCCTGGCCATGGAACTCTATTCACACTCTGATACTGGTATTTCTTTTTTATTAATCATAAATATTAGCATATCGTATAAAATTAAACTAAATTATCCATCAAAACTAACATACGCATGTACCTGAATAGGCCCATAGATACCATAACCTAAAAAGTCAACATTCCATGAGAGACTAAAACACAGATAATCTAATAAAAAAATAAATATTGAAAATACTAATGGATCCTCCATTTTATATTTAACGAAAGATATTCCAAGAATCCTAAACTAAATTTCAATGACAGATAAAACGGAAAACAACGATCCTTAGTTATAAAGGAATAGCTGCACATCCAAACAGATATACGTACTCGTCTTGATATCGAGTTTTCAAAATTCGATTTTTGGCAATCCACTGTATCTGATATCAAGCTATCAACGAGCTATGACGATATCAATAAGACGATAGCTAAATACCCTTATTTCTAACTTACACCTGTGAAAGTCGACATTCTCCAATTTCGGTCTTTCACGGTAACATATACATATAAAACTAGTAAGCCTGTTTTTTGCTATAGTCAAACCGTTTCGCATGGTTTATATGCTGTCTTCGCCGATCGTATCGCTGTAACTATTTAATGGATAAGGCTCAGCACGCAATTTTTCCTGAGTCTCAAAGTTTTTTCTTTTATTTTCTTTCATCCCTCGTGGAATTAAGGGATTCGCCAAAGTTCATTTTATTTCTCTAATGTTGCCTGTCAATTCCTATATTCCTGACTTTCGTCTAGGCTGCTTTTTGTAACGTAATTTTATAGCTTTATAAATATACAGAATTATTCAGGGCAAAGGCGTAACCTGTAGTTAGCCCATTCATTTGATTTCTATCAGAATCAATTTTTAGGTAGTGCGTTTATATACTGAACCACCTTGTGTGTATATTCGCACACCCCATTCCTCTGAAACTTACATTAATATTCTCTCGCGTGCTTCTCACCCAAGTGCTTACAAACTTCTATATAAATTTATTACGGTTTTTAAATAAAACGAGAAACTGAGTATCAATAACTTAAATCTATCCAATTTCAGGTTTCTTGCTTGCGCCATGCTAGAAAGAAAGGACCGTTCACATTTACACATGTGGCCATCTAAATACACGAGTAGGCCGGTGTAGATTGGAACGATATAAAGAGTCAATGCAGAATCAGTTCTGGATGTCCTTTGTGTTGCTAATAGACAGAAAAAGGAAAAAAAAATAAAGAGAGGTACAGTGAACGAGAGAGAAAAAGAGGCAGAATACATAATTATAATAATTAAATTAAAGGTGAAGATACCCCAAAACTATTATACAAATACGATCCTTTGGTGGGTCTTAGTATAACCAACTTGGAAATATAATTAGTACTATCCCTTGTATGCACGTGAACTTAGAAATTCTCTAAGAGACTTATGCTTTTGGAAGGGTTCGCGTGTACGTAAGTTTAAACATAATTATATAATTGATTCAGAGCTCAGACTGTTGATGATACTACAAAGTATATTGGGATAATTAAAATAATTGTCAGTGGATGAATAATTTTATTTTTAATTTATGTTATAGTCGTCGTCATGTGATTTTCACTGTTTTCCATTTAATCAAGACCCAGTGTCGCAATATCCTCTCTCTCTTTCTCTCTCTATCTTGTATAAAACATTTGAATCATAAATAATACTGATACCCAGGGAAAGATCCATTGCGAATTTATAGATTGTTATGAAAATGGAATAGCGACGTCGTGAACAGCGACAGGAACAGCCATATTACTTGTCATTGACTTCAGTGTCAATTAAAGTGTTTTTCTTGTAAATACATAAGAAGATACAGCAGTTCCATTATATTGGTCCATTAAGTGAATAATTTTGTTCAATGCTAAATGGAATTAAGTTTGCTTATGTTATTTTTTATAAGACTACGTAAAGCGGCATGACGTTCAGATTTAATAATCATAGAGAAACGTGGATGATAAAACGTCACTAGGAAGACAATAATTTTATTTGAGGAAAGATCGATCGGACTCTTGTTCCCATAATTCAATGGACCAAAGTGCCAATTGATATTCATTACGGTCAAATTCTATAGCGCTTTGCGCACGGTTCTTGATACGGTTTCGTTTTTCAATTCACCCATATCGTATAGTCACGATATATTTTAACTTCGCAATATCATATTTTAATTTACAGAATTTATTAGGGAACGATTTATCACCCATGCATCTTGTCGCGTCTAAAGTATCAAACTGATAAGGAAATTCTTGCGAACGTAATCTCTGTAAATGCATCTTGAATTTGATTCCTATAAGTGAGCACGTAATTGAATGTGATGCATGGTAACATGTCATAGTCACAAGGGTTGATTCTCTTGAGGCGGAATAGTGGGTTGGCTTCAAGCCAATTTAAACCCTCGAAAAAAGTAGTTACTTTACGCAGATTTCTATGCATAAGCATCCACATATTTTTTTATGTGTGTATATATAGTATATAATTATATATATATATACATACGTATATTGTATTTCATGCTACATTTAGGCGTACGTGATAAAAAATTATATCTGCCGTTCTCAGCCCTCTTTGATCGTCATGCATTTAAATTTAATTTATTTACGAGCGTTAATTTGATTAGAGTAATATTTTATAGCTTCCATGTTAAATTATTGAGACAGAGATCAAATACGATTTGTTCCCATTTTCTGCTTGTCAGAAGTGACTAGTCGTTAAGCTCAGAGAATCCTGAATATCATCGATTTCTGATATTTTCTTTTAGTCTGCAAGAAAAAAAGAAGTTTCGATATTTCCTCGAGCAGCTAAAAAATTTTCCAAGTCATTTTCCATAAGTGTCTTATACATATGATCTCTTACCTAGTATTGCTAGTCTGATGGAAAATAAGACTCTATGAGATGGCCCTGCGGTCCTTTTGGGGTTATGTGAGAATGTTACATCGCTCGGCATTCACTGGAGCAGATATCCTATTTGCGCCATTTTGTCAATATCATGACTGTATCGTGAAAATCCTCTCTCAGCAGATATCGAAAAGTTCAACGAGATTTTCGAGGACCTTCACAACGTGATATGATCAGTATCTATAAGAGAGAATAAAATTCCTCGAATCACTGATAACTGCTGTGATAATATTTTGATGTTATTTTTATATATTTTTCTTTTTTTCATCAGAATGATCTATGATGGAATTTTATACATCACAAGGAAATCATAATTTATAATTTACGTTACCGAGGTGCAAGTAGAGAACTTCTTATGACTCATCCTGCGTATGTCCAGAAAAGGACGTAGACGGGATAACGCATAATCACTTTAATCCGTGACGACACATTGGAATTCATTTAATTATGTTTTTATTTTAATTCACTGAAAAGTTTCAAGGTTTTAGCATAGGACGTTTCTGTATTACGGAAATGCATCTATGCCCCAAGGTACGTCAAGTGCATCCAGTGCACCGGCTAAGTGTCGGGTTGCGTCATATCGCCCCAGGATTTTGAATCTCCATAGGATTATTGAAGATCGATTACATGTCGAGGACTGGTCAAATCCACTTTTCATTTTCTGTACCAGTCATATGCACATGTATGCACCTAGATGTGCATTGGGACGCACAAGATGCATCTAATGAAATACGGAAATGCCCTTCTCGTCCTTCAACGCTCAGAGCTCAGTTGCAATGCGGTATCAGGATCGAGACGAAAAGCATGGACAGGAAGAAAAAGTTTATCCAATTAAAATTCACTGTCTTAATAGCGTCAATGTCTTTGGTGGAAAGGCTGCTGTGCAAAATAATTCTGTATACCGTTACTGCACGACAGAAGTGATTTTATTAAATTTTGTATTCAGGGCAAATTTTTGTACTCAATATTGGTTTGAGGATTTTTTAGTAGATATACTGATAAACGAAGGAAAGAATTCGTCTTTAAACTTATATTACATTCGTTGAGTAAGTATATTGGAGTATCTATAAAAAATTATTAAGATCCAACAATTAATTTTATTAAATAAAATTATTAATCGCCATATAATCTTTTACAGGTGTTTATCTGTTCTTTAATGGGTCATGATAGATTCGAATTAAAAATCCAAATGCGAATGGGATTGATAAAAATAGTAATTGCTTTAGGTACTAACTCCTAGGGTTATTTCTAAAGGTGCTTGGGCACCATTCGAGGCAATTGCTATATCGGGATGACGAGCAATCCGTTTACACGGCACATAGCGTGCACATCGTACAGTATAAGGTAACATCGATACATTCTATACTTGGATTGGATCCATTTCGATTGGTAGGATCTTCACCCTCCACTTTACACTGTACAACTTCCGAGCTGGTTCAAACTACCGGGGATTGCTCACTCAATAAACACCAGTGACAGTTACCACGTAGTGTCTGTATAGCTGTAAGCACGAGAATTCCTACCTGTAGTCTGTAAGGGATGATGCTGAAATACTCTTAGGGACAGTGGGTACGTATAACAAGGGCTGTGTATACTGTCGGAACGATTTTTAAAATTTAAAATTCAAATTTTCAAACTGATGGATCTTTTGAGCTTTTATACTTTCAGCAATAATGTAAACTTGGAATATTATCAATATTTATGATTTGTAAAGTATGAAAATCGATTTTCAGTGATAAGTGTGGACTGAGACTGTATTATGAGTATGTGACTTCGTCACTGTATACATACGTAGGGAAAATCAAACAAGCTGCGAGACAGAGGCTTCTAGGCAAAGTGATAATATTTTTTCAACCCTTGTAATCTCGAGGGTGAATGCTGGAAAAAGTGTTTTATCTTTGGGACAGACAATAAAATTGTACACATTTTTTTTTTCATTATTGGTCTAACATGATTTTATTCTTTTATTCCTGTTTATGAGGCGAATTATTATTGTTGGGCTCTGGTAAATGTCTAAAAAGATCCGTGAAATTGCTTAAGACGGTTTTTGAAAAAAAAGCATTTTTTTTAATTAAACTATCGTCAAGTAAATTCATACATTTTGAGGGGAAAAAACTTTACCATACTCAACCATTCCCAATTTTCCCTATTACATCTCTTTTCATGGGAATCGTATGCCTCTTTTTCCCTTTTATTTATTTCAAAGAATCTCATTCTATATCCCATTAAGAACTAAATTAATCATAATTCTACTCATGGATTCCTTTGATATGCCACTCTCCCTACGGATTATAATAATTTTCTGATAATATGTTAACTTGAGATAAATTGAGATTCGACACGAATTTTTATGAAAATTTAAAAATTTCTTTATTTTTTGTTACTTTTAATGACCCTCCGCATTCTTCGAATTTTCTCGTTAATTATTTTACGAGGTAGATAATAAAATCTTATAAAAGGCCTATCCCTAACGTTCACCGTTTCATTTTTGTCAAATATTAATAATTTAAACATTCCCTAACAGTGCCTTAATAAGTTAACTAATGAAATTCATCGAATTCCACAACTTACTTGTATCAACAGCGTACCAACCCTTTCGGCAAGAGAACTCACGTCATTGCGAATCTATCCACATTTTTACGAATTAACGCGATAAAAACAGAAGACTTGTTGGAACAGACAGGAAAAAATTCATTCCCACCAAAGTTACTCCCTACATATTTTTCATGTGGTTTCTTCAACCCTTTGTAATTCCATTCCATGGTAGAAGGGACTTTCAGGATATGGAATCTCGCAGAATTTTGCGAAGACCTCGTAAGGATACTAGTGCTACCCCATTAGGAAATCCCCGAGGAAGAAAAAGCACTCGAGAGATTAGCTAGGTTGGCTTAACTCGGTGAGTCTAAAATAACTTGTGAATTTACTCAAATTTTGTTTTAGGATACTGTTCCAATAACAACTTGTAAGTTCAAGCAGTTCTGAGACAGAAAATTACAATAGTATATATTCCCACGGAAAATTTCATTGCAATACTCATGCAGAAAATTTTTTTCTAAACGTTTCCAAAAATTGTGAATTTAATTAGTACTTCCTTAAATTATTTTGTATTCCTGCTCTTTGTGCTCATTCACCAAATAAATTGCTGCAATTGTGCAACTGAAAGCGCGTCGAAGCGCTCGTTAATTTTAGCAGGATTTCATTAATTTTCTGCATTAACTCTCATACTATTAACGTACTGTTCACTTCGTGTCGAGAAGGGATACTGTTTAATATTTTAATTAATTGATATAAATTATTAATTTGTATTTTCTATACAGAACACATTTATCGTCTGTTACAGGATGTTTCAAGAACCGAAAATGGAATACGAAAACGTATCGGATAGTAACGAGACGTACTTTCTTTCTGCAAATGAAACCATCACCGAGGATTATATATTCGATAGGACAGAAGTTAAGGTGGTTTTCATCACCCTCTACTCCATAGTCTTCCTCTGCTGTTTCTTCGGTGAGTTTGTCACATGTTTATCTTGTTCTTTCGCTTATTCGTTAATTAGTGGTACTTTTTTAAATAATATTCTTTACTACAAATTTTTATTACCTTAGTTACCTAGTACATGCGAAATTTCATCCTCGTGGCTTAAACTTTAAAAGCTCGGATTATCGCTCGACGTTATGCTTTGTTATTACGTTACGTATAGCGGCTTAAGCTATTCTGCCGTAATAAAGTACCTAATTACCTGTATCGTGCATTGGCCGAATAACGATGCTGCAGCTGACGAGCTGAAAGCTACTACAATTTCCGTTAATAGGAAATATGAGAAATTCAAAATTGCAATATACAGAGATCTCCATCGCATCGATGAACACGAAGCTTGATTATTAATCCAAAGTATTTAATCGGTGTAAGAGGATCTTCAAAGTCAATAAAAAATTTCTCTAATTAATACTTTTAATTTTGAATTTCTCAATTTTCAGAATCAATAACTGCCACGGTAATACATACTGTATTATGTATATGGAATTTACACGACGTTTTGGTTACTATGGATTTGGCAGTTAGTATGGAAACGGAACTTCGTACAAAGCAGATGAGCGTAAAAGGGTTCAAGTGCTGACCACATAGTTTCCACACTTAACAAGGGTTATGAGGATGGCAATGGGAATCTGTTTATGAGGCAAAATTTTCGCAGCTCCTCCTACCAAATGGTCTGTTGATTCTCTTAGAAGTTCTAGCGTCGGGATATATATTTCTCACGAGAGACAATGGCGGTTGCGGAACTCATGAAAATGCCACCTTAAAATGTATGACAGTGCGAGGAAGGAAGCACGTATACTTTCGTAAATTAATACTCTCCTCCACTGTAGTTCGACCGTAATAGTGAATTGATTTTTTTCTATACTCTTTCTATAGATAAATTTCAATTTACACAAGAGCGTACGATTTTATTTATTTATCATTTTAGAAACGTCGCTCGGAGCCGTTTATTACGTTATACCTCTTTTAATCGATTTTGTTTTGTGCCGGTATTGTGTAATGAAAAGATACACGTGCTGTTTTTCGTATACCCGATAATATATGTATCTGTACATATACGTATATGTACTTTCGCATTGTTATTGCAAATATATAAAGAGATATATTATAGCAGCAGGGAAACATATAATCAAAGAAAAACAGGTCATAAAAATATATCCTCGAGAACCTCAAATACGTGGATCACCCTCGTGTCACTTCCTTGTCCGTATTTGCAATCCGTGTTGTATATTAGGAGGTAAGAAAGTTAGTCGGAATCATTTATGCAATGTGTGCAAGGAGGAATATAAATTTGTAACAAATGAGCTTTAAGGACGGACACATCAATTGTGACAAAAGTTTTGAACTTACAAAGAATTCACAAGGGAAGTTACCATGTCCTTAATTCATATGTAGTACACGTGCCTAAGAATTTCGTGAAGTCTCGTAGAAGGATGCATTTGATTTGGAAAGGTCAGTGACGTCAAACAGAATGCTAAATTTTACGTAATTGAATACCTCTTTCTTATATTAATATACTTTCTACCCTAGCAGCGTTACGACGCGAGGAAGACTTTTTCAAGAAGACACGGGGAGAACTTCGTTACTTTCGTCTTGAATAATTTCAACGACATTTAACGAGGAGGGGATATGTAGTTAATTATATCTGTAGTACATATTATTATACAACAAGAGTCATTATTTCATTAAACTCTATCATAATGAAATTCGACATTGGTTCTTATATTTTATGTATGTATGTATGTCTCTATTTATTGTTCCCCGTAGGGTTACAAATCGCCCCCCCCCCCGCACACATTATCGCATGATCCTACTCCTTCTCCCGCTTCTCTTGCACCCCTCTTGTACTTCCGTTTCGGTCTCATTCGTTCCAACCCTCCTCTAATTCTTTCGTTCCTCTCTCCTTCTCACTCTTCCTATTCCCTCTGTCCCTCCACCCTTTTCTATCATCTTATCTTCCTGCTCTCTTTTTCTCTATCTTCCTCATCCAATTTTCCTCTTTTCCCTCCTCTCTCAATATCTCTCACACTCTTTCCTGCCAACTTCCCCCCCTCCGTAGCTTCCCTCAAATATCCATCCCATACATGCTCTCAGTTTCTCCACTTTCTCCCAGTACCATGCTTCCCTTACCTCATTTCCTAGCCTGAATCTTGCCACTTTCCTTCATCTGCTCTCCCCCTCCCCATCCTTTCGTTTGATATCCCGGTACCCCTTCCCCTTTCCTCTCTTCGTACCACCTATTGTACTTTGACTCTCTTATTTTCTCCTACCTTTCTTCTCTTTGCCTTTCTTCATCCATCTCCTCTATTGCCTTATAATCCATGCTTCCTTCCTCCCCACCTCTCGCTACCTCTTCCCCTTTCATTCCTCCTTCTCTAACGAATCCCTTTCTTTCTTCCTCCTATTTCGATACCTTTCCCTCTCCTTCTCCTCTTTTCACTATTTCCTCTCCACATTTCCTTGCAAGCCTGCTCCCCTTTCCCTCTGCTAGTTCTCTTTTAAAGCTCCTTTCTCTTTTTGTATCTTTCCTCTTGCACCGTTCTTCTGCTATCCTTTCCTCCTCTTCCTTTCCTTCCTTTTCATTTCTCTCCCTTTCCTCCAGTCTCTTTCCCATTTCTTCCATTCTCCTCCATAACTCTTTTCTTTATTCCTCCCATTTTCTCTCCCTTCCCTTTATCTCTTTCTTCAACTTCTCCATTTCCTTCCTCGTATCCCTCTCTTGCCCCTTCACTCCCCTTATCGCCCTTCTGATCTCTCTCGTCATCACTGCTATCCCATACCCCTTCACCTTTCTTCCTTTTCCCTCCTCTTCCGGCGACCTCCATACCTTCCTGCTTTTTCCAAACGCCCACTTTTCTTCCTTTTCTCACCTTCCCTCCTGCTCCCTCTTCCTTTTAAAATAATTCTCTACCGAGCCGTAACTTGCTCTCCTTTCTACTGTCAATCTTTCCATATTCTTCGCTCTTCCCATCCTACTTCCCTCTTCGCAATTCTCCCCGTCCCCGTTCACTTGCGCCATCTCTCGGTAATTATCTCCTCACTACCTTATCCGCTCAACCTATTTTCTACATCCACATTCTGTCTCTCCCCTTCAGGTGTCTCCCCTGCTCAATTTTCCTTCTCAGCTTGCCTTGTTCCCGCGTTATCTCTTCTTAACCTCCCAAATTACCTCTGCTTCCTATATCGTTTATATATCTTTTATGACGTTTTTGAGATTAGAAAGAATCCTTTAAATGCCTTTGAACAATATGGCAGGGAAAAATCTTTATACTATACCATTCTAGTCTGGTTGTTTCTTCAAAATGGCCTTACCGTTATTTTACTGACATTAGGGTAACGCGCGCGACTCACATATCTATAGCGCTGCAGCCCTATAAACAAATACAGCATCGCACGGCATATCTATTCTAGAGTATTCAAATTTAAGAATAAGTTTTAAAAGTGGCTCCTTTTTAAATTAATGTTTTTTTCATTGTTTGGGAAACATAACGGATATTCTGAAACTGGCATACACTTCGACTTAATATTCTTGAATAAAAGAGTAACACGTGTAAAGATTATTGATTTTTTGTCATGGATGGATATATTAATATTTCATACTCAAAAATTGTTATCGTCATAAGATAATAGCCTAATTTGTACCGTAAAATGCGTATTAAAGCATTATATTTCTATGAAATAGTTTAAGAATGCCTTGTAAACAAATATTACACAGGGTACTATACGAATATAATACTTTACTATGTGTATCAGCTGCTCTATGTAAACTAGATCAATATCGTTAACATGATAACCTTTGATTACAAGATTTCCTTTGTTTCGAGGTGAGTTGGAAAATATATATTACAAGAGGTTCAAGAAGAGTTATGTGATACTATGTTTCTATAGTACATAACAATGATGATTTCATAATCGACGATGTACACCGGAAAGGGTGTCTATATCAGGTTACAGAATTCTCTGTACAAGAGTATCGATTTATTTCTATCTTTATAACGAAAAGGTTCTTTATAACAGAAAAGAAAACAACGTAAACCTGTCATCTCATAATAGCTCTGATGTAACGAGACCTATATCCGGGTGAACTGAAGACGCAGCGAAGACGTCGGACAAAGTGTTTGTGCTTTCAAGATAGTAAAATCAATTGATGTTGGATATCCTATTGATACCTGTAAAGCTTTCTATACGAATATTTGACGATACCATTCATTGCTATACCCTATATATATATAGATGCAATGTGTATGTATATAAAAAAAATTTCGTTTTTTATCAACATGTCATACGTATAAGACAATTTTCGTGGATTTTCATAGCACGCTTTGTTGCTACGTCAGTTTTCGTAATTTCGTTTTTCCGAATTAATGTAGCGACGTACGTTGAGTCAGTAAGCATTTGCAATTTTTAAGTACCCAATAATAATCTAACGTACGTGGATGAGTTACATATCAGCCAATACCAATAAAAAGTTATTCATTTTTCTATGGCGTTATGTAACTTCGTGTACTACAAGATGTGCATTCAGTATTCCAGACACGATCAGCTACTATAGGGCAAACTACTCTTCGGCCATCATTCCGGCCATTGTAGTCACGCGTGATCCAAAAAGGAACACAGAACTAGTAACATGTCTGACCGATCGTTGCTTTGCTGTACGTACTTTGATATTTGTATAATGATATACTGGCAGTACCGCAACGCCATTAAATGTCTTGAGTTTCGGTTAAATTTAATATTTGAATTTCGAACTTTTCGTATTTCCCATCATTATTCAAGCGTACTATCACGTACTGGATGTACTATTGATTTTTACGCTCTTCCATTTTATCTCGCATTTGAGTAAGCTTGCATTCTAAATGCTTGGATGAATTTTCTCTAAGTTACGATTCCTTAACGATTTTCACGATTGCTATGATAGAATTGAGCCTGATAGATTATTATTTTTCCTGAATTTTCAAATCCTTAGATAG